CCTCCCGCAGGACCCTGACCGGGGATGGGGATCAAACCTGCAACCCAGGTACATGCCCTTGACCGGAAATGAAGCAGAGACCCTTCGGTTCACTGGTCAACGCTCTAACCACTGAGCAAAACCAGCCAGGGCATGTCCCATCATTTTAAAAAATAGTTTTGAAACACTCTCAAACTCACAGGAACGTTTCAAATCCAGGATCGAGCTGCTTTTCCTGAACCACTCGAGAGAATGTCAGCCACGTCCATGCCTGTCGCCCAGAACACCTGCTCAAGGTGTGTCCTGCAGAACACCCTTCCTCAAGGTGGGCGCAGGCCGGGCACAGGGCGGGGGGCACCTGGCTGAGGCATCCACCTGGTCTCAGTCACAACCTCCCCTCCGGAAGAGCGCTGGTCAGCTTCTGTAGAACTTCAGTTTGGGTTTGCCGGCTGTCTCTGTGACAGGATGTGGGTTATTTGGTGCTTCTCCCTGGCCCTGCTGTCCCCACATTGGTTACTGGGTTAGAGGCTGTCGTCCTGAGGCAAAGCCAGTCTTTCTTTTTGCAGAGAATGAGCATTTAGGGGAGAGGTACTTTGGAAACTAAGGAAACACCTCATTCCTCATAAAACTACCAGTGTATTTATTTTTATTGATGTCTGTGTAACATGATTCATGTCATCCAGGGGGTTATAATTATTCTGTTGATACGCAGTGTCCCTGCTGACCGGTGGAAGCTGACAATAGCTGGTTTCCGCGTCCTGTGCCGCATCCCCACAGCAGTGGGCGTGGCGGCGGCCTGAGCACATTCTGACTGCACCGCGTTCCCTTCCCTCCAGAAACACACCCAGCGCCATCAGCAGTCCCCCACCTGCCCCACACACCCGGCCAGCTCGGACACACCTCCGGTCCAGATCGACCGCGTCTGGACGGCCCACGAATTGCGCGGTGCCGGTGTTTCTCGTCTGCCCCTGGTGCTGAGCGCTTAGTGTTCGAGTTCACTGTGCCCGTGGGAGCCTTCATTCCTTCTTGTCAAGTGTGACTCGGGGGTATTTTGTTAAAATTTATTGATTGATTTTAGAGAGAAAGAAAGGAGAGAGAGAGAGAGAGGGAGAGAGAGGGAGAGTCATCGATCTGTTGCTCCACTCACTGATGCACTCATTGGTTGATTCTTGTATGTCCCCTGACTGGGGGTCGAACCCAAACCTTGGCACGTTGGGATGACATTCTAAGCAACCGAGCGACCTGGCAGGGGCCCATTGGTATCTTGTCACATCCATTCAGCAGTGGATGGACGTCTGGGTTGTTTCCACTTCCCAGCGGGTGTGAAGGAAGGTGGGAGAACAGCTGTGCCCAGGGCTGTGTGTGGACACGCGCTTTCATCCTCTTGGTCTGTACCGGGGGGCCTGGGTCCTGTGGACACTCTAGGCTCCATACTCGAGGGGCTGCCGGGCGGTTTCCAAAGCCGGCTGCGTTTCCATTTCTGTCGGCGATGCCCCGTGCTCCAGCTCCCCATGTTCTCTCCAACACTTGTTATTGTCTGTTTTTAAAAAATTATAGCCAGTTTAGTGAGTGTGTGGCTTTAATTTGCATTTCCCTGATGACTGGTGTCGAGATTCTTTTCATGTGTGTACTGGCATTTGTACGCTGTCTCTGGACCAGTGTCTTCAAGCTGGGCCGTCTAATTACGGGGCTGCAAGCATACTGTGCGTGTTCCGGATGCAGTCTGTAATCAGACGTACGAATTGCAAACATTGTTTCCCAGTTTATGGGTTGTCTTTTCACCTTATTGATGGTGTTCCACTGACGAAGTCTCAAGCTTTGATGCAGTTCAATGTATCCATAATGTATCCATTTCCCCCTTTATTACTTCGTCTAAGGAACCTTCGCCTAAGCTGGAGTCAGGGTGTTGGTTTCTGAGTAAGACGTGAGAGGGTCCCACTTCACTGTTTGGCTACTCTGTGTTCCTTGAGTCGCCACATGAATTTTACAGTTCGTCAGTTTTTTGCGAATGGAACACAACAACCGGGGAGACAAGTGCCAGGCGCTGGTGAGATCCGGAGCATGAGAGTGGCAGGGTTTGCGGCTGAGACAGTCCAGGGCCCCCACGCCGGGAGCAGGGGGAGGGCAGCCCAGTCCTGTGAGGAGCAGATGTTAAGAGCGGGGACCAGGGTCAGGAGTCAGCGGGATGGTCAGCGGCCAGAGGAGCCCACACACAGTTGTGGGGAGGCTGTGTTCAGGGGGTGCGCCATGGGGGTGTGACTGGGGACCCCCAGAGATCGTGCTTCAGGTGAGGACTGCAGGCGGATGCTGCGATGGGGAGTAAGGAGCAGTCAGGCAGGGTCCCTTAGGAAATGCGGCTGTGAGGGGGGAGATGGGGGTCGCTGGGAGTGGGGTCCACATGGATGGTGGTTTTAAATGTGGACGCCACAGCTGAGGAACAGTGGAAAAGCCCCAGGAAGGGTCCATTTGAGAGGATGAGGAACAGTGGGTGCCCTAGGGCCCTTTACCTGATAGTGGGAAGGAGGGGGATCCAGCCCACATGGAGGGGTTGGCTCAGCCTTGATGTTGGGGACAGAGGGGGACTGAGGAGGGCTGGGCCGAGGGCCTCCCGAGAGGGTCCTGTGTGCTCGGTGTCCAGGGCCGTGTGCTCCTGTTTCTCAGGAACTGTCCAGTCCGGGGGGGCCTGGTGGGCAGGTTGTGGGTCTGCTGAGTCGGAGAAGGAGGCTGCGCTGAGACAGGGACCAGTTGGGCTGAGGCGGGAAGACGCCCCCTCCCAGGACCTGTGTGCATCCGCTGACAGGCCCTTGTTGCTGTTCTGAGCTTGTCTGCCCGCCCGAATCTCATGGAAGTGAGTCTGGGACCTCTGTGGGGACAGACACTGGGCTTGTGGTGCCAGGTCCCAGAGAGGGGTCACGGCCAGCGCCTCCTCCTCACCTCCTGCTCCTGAGGCTGGTGCTCTGAGTCTGTGCACAGGGACTGATGAGCTCATCAGACACCCAGGGACCCACACGGAGGCTTGTCTTGAGAAAAACCTGCCCCTCGCCACGGATTCCTGGTCCTACTGCGGTGACACCCCACGCGCTCCCCCTGCGCTTGACCCAGAGGGGCACTTTCCCCTCGAGCTCCAAATCCCCAAACGTCTCTTCCCTCCCACTTTGTGGATGAAAAGGGGGCACGCAGGCGGATCTGGCCTCAGGCAGGTCCCAGAGGGGAACCCAGGGGCCCAGGCTGTTTCTCAGCATAGCAGGAGCGTGGTCTTCCGGCAGTGACTACAGTTAGCTGCCAACACGGTCCTCTGAGAAGGCAGGACTCACATCAGCGCAGAGCGGGTCCGTGAATGAGGATCTGGGCTCGGGGTGTGTGACGCCCCGTTTGATGCCCCGTCCCAGGGGTGAGGCTCCAGGCACAGGGCTGCCTGCTCCTTTGCCCAGAGGAGGCAGAAGCATCTGTGTACAGATGAGGATGCTGGACACTCTTGGGCCCCTGTGCTTTGCCAGGGGAGAGTAAACGCACCTGTGAGCTGGTCATCTCCCGTCAAACAGAAACCAGAGGTCCCTGCGTGGAGACTTGCTCCATTCACCCTGCTGGGCTGCTCTGGGAAGCGGGAGGGACATTGGGGGGGGCTCCCACAAGGGTGGGATGTGTCTAAGGCCCCTGGCTGGGGTGCCAAGGGGACAACAGTCCTCTGGCACCACAGACCCCAGGCTCTATGTCCTCCCCTCCGGCTGTCCCCAACACCTGCCGCACTCCCCTCAGAGACTTGCATGTAGGGTGACAGGAAAGTCCACGGGGGCCTCACCAGCCAGCCTTGCCCACAGGCGCTGTGGTGCCCCTGCTCCTGGAGGCTGTGTGTGGGGTGAGCTGTGTGCAGCCACCTCTGCCCGCAGGTGTGGGACACGCCTTATGGCTGGTGAAGTCACCCTGGGGTCCTTCCTCTCTTCCCTGTGAGTCTGTCTGGCTCCTCTTTGCAGCCCCCACCTGTGAATTCAGGGCCTGTGTGACCCCCAAATACTGTCCCCCACATGCCTGTCACGGGTTTGGAGTCTGAATACCTGATGGTGGGCCTGGTCCCGTTTTGGGCGTGTGGGTGACTGGTGAGGGTCTGGGAGCCGGAGAGACACAGCTGACACCTCTCTGGTCGAGGCCAGTCCGCACAGGGTCCCCTCAGGGGCCACAGGGTCCCCTCAGGGGCCTTGGCTCAGCAAGGCGGGCACACAGTAGGTGCCAAACCAGTCCTTTGAAGACCTTACATTAAGCGTCTCCTTGACAACCAGTCCTCTGTGTCTAGCTCCCGGAGGTCACAGGAGGCCCTTTGATGGCTCGGAGGCATTTCCAGACATGGGCGCTGTGGCCAGGAGCCAGAGGGACGCCTGGGGCAGGAGGTGGGATTCTGGACAAGCCGCATTTGAGGACACTGGCCAAGCATGCGAGGGGAGGCCAGGAGGGGAGCATGGTTATGACAGCGGTGGGCCTGACCTGCCTTCAGCAGAATCCAAACCCCCTTTCATGGAGAAGCAGAGAGCAGAACGCAGGAATTTTCATTTCCTGTTTTTATTGTTGGTTACTAATGACCTTCCTTTGAAATGCTGCCGTGGAAAGCTGGTTGTCATGGAAACAGGGAGTGCCGTGCAGGGAATAGGTACACAATGCATTTCTTTGTCATGTCCAGCTGATGCCTCAGCCTCCGCTGATGTGCATGAATTTCTGGGAGGAATTAAATATTAACTGGAGGTGTTGTCTGAAGAGGGAAGATGCTGGAAACCAGGGCAGAAGGGAGCAGAGTGTCCCCCGTAGTGACCTGCACCAGCCCCACAGTGTGTCCCACATACTGGACGAGATGCAGGGGTGTCTGAGCCAGAGAGTGATGTTCCCAAAATAGCCCTTCTCTTGTCCCTGTGTGTCTGTCAGTGGGTTCCAGAAAAGGGGTGTGTGGATGGCCGTGCAAACGTGACCCACGGTTCTTGGCTTCCGCCCTCGGGGAGCATGGCAGACAGTCATTGTTTCCTCTTTCTGGCCTTCAGAACATGAGTTCCGGGGTGAGCTGCTGAGTCAGAGGTGGACACACGGAGACAAGGCCAGCAACTGCAGGACCTCGAGGCTCCTGGACGGACGCGGCAAGGTGAGGCACTTGGAGGGCTGTCCTGCCCTGGCCCCAGGTCTGGGCCAAAGAGGCCCTTCCCTCTCCAGGCATGGAGCACACTGGTAGCTTTTGGTCTAGTCATCATCATTCTAGATTAGGCAACGGACACCTGGAGACCAGGGCTGGCAGTGGTCTGGTCACTAAAGCTGAAGGAAGAAAGGGGCTGAAGGGAGCAGGTCCCGTGCGGCCGTGGTCTGGCTCGGCGGTGTCTGTTCTGCGGTCTGCGCTGCGCTCGCTGCGGTGACCTGGGCAGGCTGAGAATCCCTAGGAACGCCTGAGGTGTGCTTCCCTTGCTCATCTGTCTTCCCAAACTGGACAGATGGTTCATGCGGCCACGGGGGGCGCTCAAGCCCCTCCCCAGACTGCTCCAAGATCCAGGATGTAACAAGCACTGACAGCCACGCCAGGCCTCTAACTCTAGAACTGCCCGTGATGTTCTCTGGGTGGAGCTGGTCCCCAGGGTCAGGTGACCCTCAGAGACGAGGTGCAGGTGGCAACAGGCTCGAGGGACTCCTTTCCCGGGTCTCAGATTCTGATTTCACTTTCTTGACGTGGAGACGCTTCTCCGTCAAGGATTCAAGCTGTGACCCAGGGTGTGGCCACTAAGATGTGATGGCAAAGGGTGTAGATGGTCAGGCTACAGCGTTCTGGTGACACCGCAGCTGAGGGTGCTTGGCTTCATTCTCAGAGCTGACGTCTCTACAATCTGGGGGCTGGCATGCACTTCAATGGGTCGGTGCCTGCACCTCTGTCCACACTTTTGTTCCTGTGGGATTACTGGGGCTCTGCCAAGCCATCTGGAGCCTGAGGCACAGGGAAACCAGTCCCCCCAGTCCTGCCTTTATTTACATATCAGGCAATTTGTTCGCCATAGACTTTCTACACTGATTTTGATGTTTTAAAATATTGCATTAAACTATTATTGAATCTTGATCTGAGTTTGTGTTCCCCCTTAAACGTGCACCTGGGTGGATGCCTTCCTTGCTCACCCCACCCCAGCCCTGAGCATCTACCCAGAGATTCTCATGACCAGGAAAGCGACAGGCAGCCTCCGTGACCCAACATTTACTGGTTACATTGGCGGCCTTTTTAGTGCATGGTTCATGGCGCCTGCAAACAATTACAGTAGGAGCATCAAAGATCACTGACCACAGATCACATGACAAACATCCTAATGACAGAGAAGTTCGAAAAATTGTCCGAATGGCCAAAAGTGACACAGAGACATGAAATGAACAAATGCTGTAGAAAAATGGCGCCAACCGCCCTGGTCGGTTTGGCTCAGCGGTTAGAGCATCGGCTTGCGGTCTGGAGAGACCCGGGTTCGGTTCCCGCTAAGGGCACGTACCTCGGTTGCAGTTTGTCCCCGGCCCTGGTTGGTTGTGTGGGTGGCAGCCACTCGATGTGTCCCTTTCACGTCGATGTTTCTCTCTCTCTCTCTCTCTCTCTCTCTCTCTCTCTCCCTCCCACTCTGTCTGTACAAAAAAATGGAAAAATGTCCTCGGGTGAGGATAAAAAAAAAAAAAAGAAAAAAGAAAAATGGCGCCAATAGATTTGCTTGGTGCAGGGTTGCCACAAACCTTCAACTGTGAAAACACGGGCCCTCTGCAGAAGCATCGAGGGCCCGCCTGGACCCGGTCGAGGCCGAGGGCCCTGGGTGCCAGCACTTGCTGTTGTGCAGCTGTAAGTGGTGGTGGGAAGGGCTGTCTCTGTGGCTCTGGCGTGAGGAGCTCGAGGGTGTAGGACACGCTGTGGACTAGTCTGTGGGCCACGCTCAGGTTCTCTGGCAGCATCGGCCACTTCACAGGAGACTTTCCCCTCTAGCTTGGGCAGGTGGGGCCCGAGTTGCTGTTCTGGTCAGAGGACGTGTGTGAGCGGGGTGATCCCCAGCACTGGCGCTGGAGCAGGCAGCAGCCTCTGGCCCAGGAGGCCACAGTGCAGGTGGCCGGCCTCGGGGACAGAGTCACAGCGCGGTGGCAGGTCCAGCCTCAGACGGAGGTGGGTGAGGTGAGGAGCCTGTGTTCACAGCCTATGGGTTCAGCACCAGGTGTGTGGACAGCTCACAGATGGGTTTGGAAGGGGCCCTTAGAAAAGACCGGGTGTGTTTGGGGGAATTGCTGGGTGTGTGTGTGCGTGATCCTAAGGAGAACAGGAGTAGGCTTTGATTGTAGGTTCTTATTGCCTCTTCTTGACCTTGATGAATAAAACGCTGGGGCCCCAAGTCACATCCTGTTCCAGTGGGTGATTGCCCGATATTCAGCCAGGCTTCTTCCTGCCACCCTGACGGCTCCTGTCGAGGGAGGGCGTCACCACCTCACTTGATGTGGCCTAATTTCTACCTCTGGGCAGGTACAAATTCCGTTTATGGTGGGCTTTTAAACAGAGGGACTCAGACAGGGCTGCTTTCTCAGGGTGTCATGATGTAGCTATAATTCAACTTGGTTGGGGTCTCATGCTGAGCCATCGTCTCATGCTTGGATGTGCCACGAAAACCCCTCCCAAGACACGAGCTCAGTAATGCTCCACGGTGTCCTTTCTGCAGCCCGGGAAGGAGGCTGCTCTGTTCAGCTCCCAGGAGGCCAGACAACGGGTGAATGTCAGAGAGGGAAGCGGAGGCTGTGCCGGCAGGAGGCCAGCGGGCTCTGAGGGGTTCCATGGAGAGGAGCAGGGGATGCACTGGAGGGCTGCCCTGAAGCCCCGAATGGAGCTCCTGCCCCGGGGTAGGGGCGGGGCCAGCACCATGCTGCCTGGGGCAGGGGCTTCCCAGCAGCCAGTGCGAAAGGTGCGGCCCTCGGCTGGGCACAGAGGGAGCAGCCTTGTCCTGCCCTGGAACACTGGGCAGGTGCTTCAGATCCAGTGGGGCAGCTGAAGGCAGGTTCCTGGCCACCTGCTGTTATGTCCCTCTGCCCTTCCCACCCACGTTGCCCCTTCCTTCAGCAGGGCTGCCTGTGGTCTCCTGGGGGTAGCGGGCGGCCCCCTTCTTCTAGGCCTGCCCTGGGGATACTGGAACCCATACAATCTTATGGATTTGAGATTTGCCCTAAGTCCTTTTCTAATTCTCCAACTTTGCAGCCGTTGGAACCAATTTTGAATAAAATGAAACACCAACCTGCTTCCTCCTACAGGGCCAGGTGGGTGTCCCTGTGGTGCCGGGGTCCTAGGCCCCCTTTCCCGCCCAGGGCTCTGGTTGGTGCTCAGCTGCCTTCCTCTGCCCAGGGTCTCAGAAACGTCTTTGACTGTCCCCACTTGTCTGTCCGTCCGCCCGTCCTTATGTAATATGTGCTGAGCAGTGAAGGAGGCACGGCACCTCGCTCTGCAGGACACGGTGACCTTGAAATGGGAACGGATGAGCTTATCTCAGGTGGAACCAAGGGCCGGGAGGGAAATGAGCACACGCAGGAGGGCACAGGCCCGGCTGTGGGAGGAGCTCCACCCAAGGGTGCTCCTTCTCCCCAGCTCTGAGCCCCTCCCACCCGGGGGCAGCCTAAATGTCCTCAGATTCTCACTGACCCCCGGAGCCTCCTCTCCCCACAATGCCCTGGGTCTGAGCAGCCCCTTTCTTGTGAGGCCTCCCCTGGCGCCCCGCCCTGGAGTGAGGGGCCCTGGTGGGAGGGCGGTGCTGCCCGGGCCAGGATGTCCTGCAGGGGCAGCTTGTCTGGGATGTTTCGGGCCAGGCGTCAGCCGTCTGTGCAGAGGGGCAGGAGGCTCCGGGGAAGAACAGGAGAAAGGAGGGACAGAGAAGGAGACACAGGGCAGTGGTCAAGGGTCAGGGTTTGGGGTTAGTGACAGGGAGGGAGGGGACCCTCCATAGACCCCGTAGGGGTCAACCGGACAGCCTTGGACGCAGCACCCCCACCCACCCACTGTGTCACTGGTCGGGTCTGAGTGAATCTCTCACCTCACGTTCCCAGAGTCCTGATGAAGTCACAGGTGTGGGGGCTTCTGACCACATGGGCTCGTCCGGTTCCCCTGCTGTGAATGTCCAGCTCTGGGAACCCAGTTTGGGCAGTGGATGTGCAGATGGGTCTGAAAGGGCTGGTCCTCGAGGAGCAGCCCCAAGGGAGGCCAGCGTTAGACATCGATAAAACAAGGCGAATGGAGGACCAGGTCCGCCCTCGCTGTCCGCAGTGCGGCCACATCGGTGGGTCTGCATTTGTAAATCACTCTCCTCCCGTTTCCTGCGGAGACAGAACAGTGGAGTGTCAAGCTGGCGAAGGCGCACAGGCTGTGGGGTGCCCCTCATGGAGAAGGGGCCGGCGGGACAGACACGGGCGATGCCCTGAGGGAGCCCCTGCCCCCCCGGAGAGTGGCGTTCACCTAAGGTCGCTCGGCTGTGACAAGGGGCCTTTTCACCTCAAGGGGAGAGGCTGTTCAGTAAGTTGTGGGCTGCGAAAAAACAGGGACTTGGTGGGTTTGTGCTTGGAGCAAGTGAAGGGTTTTCAACAACAAATGAATGAAAATCGGGATGTGTCTCCTTGTCTTTGTGGGGTGGGGGCTGCTAGGTGCTGCCAGGTTCTGCTGGGGACACGGAGCAGCCGTGTCTAGGGCGTGAGGACAGCAGAGAACCTGCCTCCTCACCCTCCCGGAAGGAATCCGTGGGCTGGCAGCCTTCACCACAGCCTTGCCCCCGCCCCAGGGGCCGCGACTGCCGGCCCCAAACAGCTTAGAGATCAGCCTGGCTGCCGACGTCCCGTCATCGGCTCTTAAAAGTTCACTCTCATGTTCAAGAGCTGACCTGTCTTTCTCCCTGTAGCTCCGTTTTTCTCCCTTTTAAAATCCAAGCACATGCACTGAACAGAACTTCTCACTGACCGACCACCTGATGCAGACACATTGCAAGTGCAGGTGCTTGGCGACGGGCTTGTAGTCTGCAGGCAGCGTCCCGATCCCCCGCCACCCTCCCTGTTCTCTGCTCTCTGAGCAACGTGTCTGCAGGAAGTCCAACTGCCAAGGCACGCATCAGCCTAGCAGTGCGCTCGCCAGTGTCCTCAGGAAGCAGAGCAGGTCTCAGGCCAGCCGTCCGGCCACCAGCAGTCAGCAGCCCGCCGTCCCGCACAGGAGGTGGGCGCTGGGCCCCGGAGCAAGGCTCGTAGCCATAACGAGGCCCCGTTGACACCTGCTCCTCTCTTCACGTTCACTGTGAGCCTGGTCCCCAGGGAGCTTACCAAACGGAGGTGTACCGACCGTCTCCTGCTGCTGGGGGGCCGAGATGCAGCTCAGAACCCGGGCTCTGCAGCCTGGACCCAACCTGCTGCGTGAATTACCCCAGGTTTTGATTTTTCCTCCTTATTTTATTTAATTTTTCTTTTTTCTTTCTTTTTTTTTTTTATCCTCACCTGAGGATATTTTTCCATATTTTGTACAGATAGAGTGGGAGGGAGAGAGAGGAAGGGAGAGAGAGAGAGAAACATCGACGTGAAAGGGACACATCGAGTGGCTGCCACCCGCACGACCAACCAGGGCCGGGGACAAACTGCAACCGAAGTACATGCCCTTAGCGGGAACCGAACCCGGGTCTCTCCGGACCGCAGGCCGACGTTCTAACCGCTGAACCAAACCGGCCAGGGCTAATTTTTAAAAAATTATTTGTTGTCCCTTTATTGATTTTAGAGAGAGAGGAAGTGAGAGGGAGAGAGATAGAAACATCGATGAGACAGAACGTCGATGGGCCGCCTCCTGCATGCCCTCCACTGGGAATGGGGTCCACAACCTGGGCATGTGCCCTGACTGGGACTCGAACTGGTGACCTCTTGGTGCAGGGTCAACGCTCAACCACTGAGCCACACCGGCTGGACGATTTTTCCTCCTAACAAGTCACATAAACCATCACATGTTAGTGCTGCTTGTGGGGAGGTTCGCTCTGCAAATCTCATCTCACTCATGGAGGCTCCTCCTCCTGTCTTCCTGGTGGTACGTACACTAAACCCCGGCTCCCACCACCCTGGCTTCCTCTCTTGCCACGTCTTCCCACTGTCCGGCTGTCCGGCAGGCGGCCTCGGTGTGGCCTGAGACAGGTGGACTGCTTCCTCCTCTTCCTGACCCTGGGGACAGGTGGTGAGCCCCGCTCTCCTGGGGCCTCCTGGGGTGTGGGGCACCTGGCAGAGGCCTCTCTCCCTTGGAGACACAGAGCATGTTGGGGCTCCCGTCTCCTACCTTCTCATCGCCTGCCCAGACGTGTCACGTGTGGCACAGGCCAAGTTCCTGTGTGATGACCGGTATCTCCAGGGGGCTCTCCCTCGACTCCCTTGGAGGGACAGTGCATCCCCCACAGAAATGGGTCGGGGCAGGGACTGTTGATGGGGCCATGATGGGCTCTGGTGGGGTCTAGTCTGTGCCTCGTCTCCCTTGGAGGTGCCACTCACCCTCTCCTGGGAGAAGCGGCCCCGGGTGGCCGGCGGGACTGGTTGAGCCGAGCTGGTGGCTGCGTTTCTGCCCAGCCTGGCTCTCATGGCCACGGCCCCTCCGCTGGGTTCACGTCCAGCACAGTGGTCATGGCACTTGGCACACGCTGTGAGCTCAGGAGACACGCGGGCCCTCAGAGTGAGTCATCACAGGACAAAGCCATAATTTTTATATCCAGATTGTTGAAGTGATAATGTTTTGGGTAGGTTGGGGTGAGTTTAGTATTAACATCGACTGTAGCTGCTTCCTCTTACATCGTTCGTGTGGCTGCTGGGACCTTCCTGGTGACGTCTGCGCCTGCCCTCTGCCCCGGGCGGTCGTGCCCGGAGGCCCCTGTGCCTCTGGGGACACAAGGGGCCCTGCCTGCATTAGGGGCGTCCTGAGCTCAGGCTCTTCCCCTGGGACTGTTCCCGGACAGCACACTGGGACTCAAGCTCTCCCACCTCTGACACTTCCTGGGAGGCCCAGCCGCTCCCAGCTGCCTGCTTCTGCCTGGACGGCCTCACGGCAGCTCCCACGGGAAGCTGTGCTCTGGGGACTGGGGGGCAGAGTCTGCTCTGCAGCGGGCGACCTGCCTGGGGCTGGAGCACTTGTGCCCGGTGAGCAGGGCTTGGGCCGGCCCTGTCCTGCTCAGGTGTGGACCTGGGGCGGGGTGGGGCACAGTGGATGGGGGAACCCGGCCGTCCACCATCCTGGTCCCCAGCCTGTCCTGCCCTGGAGCCACTTTTTTTTTTTTTTTTGGTATACGCCCTTAGCAGGAACCGAACCTGGGACTCTCTGGACCGTAGGCCAACTCTCCGACCACTGAGCCAAACCGGCCAGGGCTGGGCCACTTCTTGTCTGTGCCACAGACTCGCCGTCACCCGCAAAGCTTGAGCTGGAAAATGGCTGGAGACCCCGCAGCCCCGTTTTCCTGTTAACCTGACAGTTGTTTCTACTTGCAGATGAGCTTGGAGAACGAGGACGCACGAGCCCGCACCCGGTCCAAGGCCCTGCGAGGTGAGTGCGCCTCCCGCCCCGGCCCCCACAGCTGGCTCTGCCCAGTCCCAGGTGCCAGGGCTGCAGAGGTCACTTTCCCAACATGCCCTCAGGGGAGCAGAGCCGCAGCAATGCCCAGGCCTGCCTGTTTCTCCCCAGTGCTGGTGCCCAGGGCACAGGGCATCTGGTAGCCTCAGGGTGCCCGAGGGGCAGACGAAGTGCACGGGGCAGAGAGGAGCAGGCAGACACAGCTCCCCAGGCGGGGAGGCAAGTGCTAGGAGGCCGTTCTGTTTGGAAGTGACTCACCAGCCTCCGCTTCCCAGGGCGTCAGTCTGCGTACTCGTGGGGCCTGGGAGGTGGTGGGGTAAGGAGGAGGGGAGCCCGTCCCCTTCGTCAGCCTCACCTCCCTGACACACAGGTGAGGGGAGCGCTGAGCTTCTCAGGTGCGCTGCCTGCCCGGTGGGACCCGTGTGTTTCACCCTCAGTGGCTCATTGCTGAGCCCCTGCCGCTTGGCCCATCTGCTCCCTTCTCTGTCCAGCTCTATCTGCTGGGTCAGGTTTCCTGCCAGGAACCAACTTCTAGGTGCAATTAGAGAACGAGATACTGTCCGGGTCCCGAGGGCCCAGAAAGCCTGTGCGGGGGCATCCATCCCTCTGCCCCTCCGGGGTTGGCCGAGGCTGCTTGCCCGTTAGACTGTCAGAAGATGGGCTGGGTGCTCACGGGGCCCCTTCCTTCATGGTGCCTTTTCAATACTGACTTCGCCTGTTTCTCGTTTCTCTCACCTAGCACCCCCAGAGCCCGCAGGGGCCGACCTCAGGTAAGAGACTCCCCACCAGCACGCAGCACGGTCCCATACCGGGCACTTGGACTGGCCAACTGCACCGGGGACCTTCCCTCACGGGGCCCCTCTCTCTGTCACTGTTGGCTGTCGGCGCCCCGCCCCTGCCCTGGCCCCCACACAGCCAGCCCCTTGCAGGGCACAGCTGTGTGCACACCTGGCCCACCTGTACCTGCCGTCACCGCGGTCCCCAGCCATGCTGCCCTAGCAGGCTGTCAGGTGGTCTGAGGCCCTGTTGGCCCAGAGAGGAACAGGCTGTTCTGGTCCCGAGTCTTCCACAGACTCAGACATGCAGGTGGTGGTTCTGTGTGTTGGGGATCTCACGCGGCTGAACTCTGGGATGCAGATTCCGGCCCACGTCTCACAGGGGATGGATGTCCTGAGGAGGGGGGAGCACAGCTCGCTGCAGTATGTGCTGGTCAGAGCAGGAGGGGGCTGCCTGCCTCCCGGAGGCTGTGTGCCCTCACCTGCAGGCTTCTGTCCTGGGCATGGCCAGAGGGGAACCACCCCAGTGCCTCCAGGTCAGGCTGTCCCAGCACCTCCCCACAGTGCCCGAGGACTGAGGACACGGACACGGACACGGACATGCAGGCCTGGGCTCCTCCCAGGACCTCTGGTGCCAGCCCCCATGCCACCTTCTCAGACTGACCTCCACTGAGTGGTGTCTAGTGACCGGCCCTGACCCCCCTTTTCTGAGGAGGGTAGTTCTGGCTCGGAACACGAGAGGAGGGGAGGTGAGGGTCACCAGTATGCCATGTGGGCACTGGGTGCCCATTTCATTGTCAGAAATTCCTTGTGAGACAACTTTCCTGAGGCTCGTGCCTGGAGAGGTGGAGGGGCTTCTGCCCCACAGCAGTCCGGAGCTGGGGGCACCACCATGCCTAGCCCCTGAGACAGGTCCTAGGCGTGCCCCACCGCGAGATGCCCACTCTGAGGGGCCAGGACAAACACCCCTTGGTGGAGGTATCTGAGCTTCCGGACCCGGGGGGACACGGCACACCGGGTCCTGAGGGTCGATGCTGCTCTTCCTGCCAGGGCTCCAGGGCCTCTGCCGGTTCTCAGTTCTTAGGTGAGAAGATTCTCACTGAACTGAGAGCAAACTGGGGTCCAGGACCACTTTATTCCTCTCCATGTCGTTGTTGAACGATTAGCTTTTGCCAATGAGGAGAATGGGAGGACCCCAAAGTGTCCCGGAGTCCCTGGGGCTATAGCTTGGACCGGAAGGGCAGGGGTGTGGGGGAGGCGCAGAGGCCGAGCACGACGCGGTTTTGATGTCAGATCCTCACGGACACCGCGCCTGCCGGTGTTATGGCTCCGTTTGTGGGGCGGGGAGACTGAGGGCAAGAGGGTGGAAGTCACCCGGGCAGAAGAGCAGGGGTAGCTCAGAGCCCAGGCCTGTCTGGGTGGGAGGGGAGGTGGGCGGCAGTCCGACCAGCACCACCGAGAGACCCCGCGTGGCCTCCGAGGGCCTGATCGCGGGAGAGAAGCTTCCAGGAGGAGGTGTCACTTCCTTGCTGGGCTGGGACGCGCACCGGGCACGTCCCGGGACAGTGCTTGAGGAGCCTCCGGCTGGGTGACGGCAGGTGTTTCTGGCGGGAGATGAAATTACGGAAGAAGCTAGAAAAGCAAACCCAAAGGGTTGGATGTTGTCTTGGGACCTTGGAGTACGAAGGAACAATGACTCTGAGATGGATTTGCTGTGGAATAGTCTGGAGACCCGGCCAGCATAAGGGGCTGGTGAGCACTGGGCTTCGTCAACCTGCTCTCGGCAGCAGTGCGACCGTCCAGTTTCCCAGGGAGGCACTAGCCAGACCATTGAAGTCCAGTATTCTCCAAACAGTGTCTTCAGCAAGGCTTTCTGAGAGCCGGTGCCTGTGGTGAAGCTGAGCAGACCCGGCCAAGGTGTCTGTACCTCCCGCGCGGGGGGAGGGCATGAGCTCCGTGCGGGGCTGTGACCCGGTGCGACTTCCTCCCACGGTGGGGCCGGCACAGGGAGGGGGCGTGGGTGCCATGGTCCAGAGCTCCGGGTCACGTCCACCCAGCGGTTCCCTCGTCCAGGCATCAGCACGGGTGACGACGAGCTGAGCGGCAGACAGGCTGGGACGGCTGGGCCCTCGGCTCCTCCCACCTCCAGCGTCTGCGGGAAGACAGGGGGACTGACGGGTCCCCCTTTGCACAGGGAAAAGGTGGCAGACTCTGTCCTGAGGTTCTGGTCTGGGCCCATCTGCCGCCACAGCGCGCTGCTGAGTCCAGGCCCTCGGAGCGGTGCCCATGGAACCAGGCCTCCGGGTGGGGCCCTCCCCAGTGCCACACCAGGCGGGGCTGCAGGCCAGGCCTCTGACTGGGTGGCGGAGGTGCGTCTTGGAGCAGGTGACGTGTGGGGGCAGTGCCAGGGCTGCAGGCCTCCCTGGCAGCTGCCGCCTGATTGCTTGATTAACTCAGTGATTAATTGACTAATTGGGACCTAAGCTTCAAATCCCCCATAACAAGGAGCTTTTGTGGAAAGTCTCAAAGCTGGTTCTTGAGAGAGTGAAGCAAGTGTGGGGTACAGACAGACCAGGGGACAGACTGCAATAGATAGACTAGGGGACAGACAGAGAGACCAGGAAACAGACAGACAGAGCAGGGGACAGACAGACAGACTGGGGGACAGTGGCCACAGGTCTGTCTGCAGAGGACACGTGTGGTTAAAGTAGATTTCTCCCTCCCTCCTTCACTCCTGCCGTCTTCTTTTGAAAACAGAGATCAGTCCTGGGACCAACCGTGAGGCCCCCACATGCAGACAGTGTCCCCACCAGACACCCTGCTCCCCAAAGGCCACTGCTGGGCTCGGGTGGGGCTTTGCCTCCATACACCGTTCTGTTTCTTCCTGACTGGTCAGCAGGAGAGGCCTCCTGGCCAGTTTGGCCCCACAGCTGTCTACACGCAGGCCTGTGACCAGCCAGGTCAGGAATCACTGAGGCGTCTGGTCAGAGGTTAAGGGTGATGCCCTTTCCAGTTCCCAGCAACCTGCGGGGGTCGGACCCGAAACTTCTCTCCTCTGTGGCTCTGGGAAAAGTCTGACCCAAGGTGGAACTCAGGCCCCGTGGTGTTGCTCCCGTTAAACACAAGGTCTTCCCAACTTGGGGTGACCTCCTTCTAGGAGGAGCTCAGACCCCCCCTCCTTTAGGTGACATCCCAAGGGTTGTCCATCTTGTAGGTGTCAGTTTGCTGCTCTGTAAAATGGGGCGATAACAGCTCTTTGCAGTCCGTGGTCTGTGGATGTGTCCAGCAGCCTGCAGACGCTGCCCCCCGCCCCCACAGGTCCCTCACTGCCTTGGGGAGCTGGCCCCTGGGGAAGTGGGTCGGCTGACATGGTCCATGTGCATGATCAGAAGTTTCCTGAGCATCCCATGGTCTGTTCTGTGGGGACACAGAAGATGGTGAAGGGTGAAGGAGTCCTGGGGGTTCGCCTGCATCCATGTCCACCCACCAGCTCTGAGGTGGGGTGCCGTGACAAGCCCAGCGTCACCCCACTGAGGTCTCATGCAGCTCCAGAGCCATCGGTCCTCCTGACGTCACCACACTAGGCTTGGCCACCTCCAGCTGGGGCCTGTGTCCCGGGCCACACGGACGTGTCACCACCTTCCGCCTTGCCCAGGGACTGGCGAGCGCTGCAGGATGTTGGTGACAGCGGTGGAGGTCCCCGTGTCTGTGCTGTGCCCTCAGGCACTGGTCTTGGGGGTGTTCAGAGGGTCTCGTGTCCCAGCCCCGGGGACAGTTTGCTCGCCATGGGAAAGACGCATCAGTGGAAAGACAGCCTTCCGGAGATGCCGACGCTGGAAGTCTTATCGCATACGCACAGATCTCTAATTAAACACACTCATAAAACTGTAATGAGCCGTTCATTTATTTAAGTGGGGGGAGTTATTTCATTAATTTTTAGCCAACTGCAAGCAGCCGTCCTGAGATGAGCAGCCGGACACAGTCCTCTGCTCCCCAGGGTGCGGGTCTGGGCGGGGCCCCTCCCCCGAGTGACCCCTCTGCTTGTCTCCCCAGCTGCCCCACCCCGGGATGCACGGGCTCGGGACACATCCGCGGCAAGTACTCCAGGCACCGGAGGTGAGGATGTCTGTGGGCCCTCATCCCAGTGCGGGGGGCTGCGGGGTGTTGGAGACCGGGGTCTAGGACCTCCGTGTCCGCCACGGCTGCTGAGCTGCAGGTGCTCCCACAGACCTGTTCCTGAGGGGCCCTTGTGGCTGAGGCCGAGTGGGCGGTACCGCTCTCCCTGTCGGGTCCGAGCAGGAGCAGCCCCGGCACACTGGGCTGACCTGAGCCCTCCCAGGGCTCCGTTGACCTCAGGGTCAGAGGGTGGGTGAGGGTGGGAAGTGTCTGCCCTCAGGGACCTGCCTGCTGGGCATGGGGCAGAGCAGCCAGGCGCCAGGCCCTGCCCTCCGGGGGTCGTCTGAGAGAAGGCAGAGATAGGACTCACAGCTCTACCGGGACAGTTCGTGTAAAACCCAAAACCAGCCAGCGCGTTTGGGGCTGTGGAATGCCAAGAGAAGCAGGGCGAAGGGCGGGAGGGCCTGGGAGGTACTGATGGGGCCCCGGCTGGTCCCCTTGCTCCAGTTTGCAGAGCTGCCCTCTGGCCAAGAAGAGGAAGCTGGAGGGCGCCGAGGCCCAGCACCTGGTGTCCAAGCGGAAGTCGCACCCTCTGAAGCTGGCTCTGGATGAGGGCTACGGCGTGGACAGCGACGGCAGTGAGGACGCCGAGGTGAAGGGCGGCTCTGTTTCAGATGGATCGGAAGGAGCTCCGGAGGAGGAGGAGGCCGAGCTGTCCGGACAGGAGGAGATTCATCACCCTGGGCCAGCGGAAGGTGCTTTGTTCCCTCTCTGCCCGAATACAGGGCTCAGTGTGTCCCTGGGAGTCACAGCCCGTGCGCCCGGAGCCTCCTGCCAGGAAGGCCCTTCCTGAGAACAAGTGACGCCCTGTGCCGACGTGCACGGGCTTCCTGGGGGGGCCGGGGCGTCTGTGTGCGAGCCCTGTGTGACTGAGGCTGTGTGTCCGTGCACGTGAGCAGCAGGTGGACATGTGGACATGGCTGTGTGTCTGGCCCTTGGGGAGAGCAGCCTGGGGCTGGTGCGTCTTGTCGCCTGCGGAGACTGAGGGGCACCCCGCCCTGGCAATGCTGATGTGCAGCCCCGAGGTCCAAACACCCCCGTACCCCTGAGCTCCTGGGTCTGAGGTGGACTTTTTATTTTTATTTATTTACTTATTATTGTTAATTCTCACCTGAGGATATTTTTCCATTGGTTTTTAGGGAGAGTGAGAGAAACATTAATGTGAGAGAGACACATGGACTGGTTGCCTCCCTCACGACCCCAAGTAGGACCGGGGATCAAACCTGCAGCCCAGGTATGTGCCCTTGATTGGAATCACACCTGTTACCCTTTGGTCTCTGGGCTGACACTCTAACCGCTGAGCCAAACCAGCAGGGCTGAGGTGGATTTTTTTAGTTTTTGGAGCTGATCCTGGAGGGTCCCACACTAACCTACCTCTGGGCTCAGGCAGGAAGCCCTGACTCACAGGCTCCCTCACAGAGGAGGGGTGGGGGCTGGGCGTCGGTCCTGTCGTGGACCAGGAGCACGGCCTGCACACTGGCTTCGTGCTGCCCAGTCCCAGGGGAGATGACCACCCCCCCCCCCCGGGCTGGCACGTGGGAGGGCCCACATCGTAGTCACGGTGGTGAAAACATTTACATTTGGGTCCTTTAAAAGTATAAATTCATTCATTGCTTTTGATTTTGAAACAATTAAAAAAAATCTGTTGTATTCTTTGAGCTCCATTTTGTGAAATTATTTGGGAAAGTACCACAATGACTCTAAAACACGTATTTTATTAATTTTTTAGAGAGAGGAGGGGAGAGGGAGAGAGAGAAACATTGATCAGCTGCCTCTTGCACAACCCTACTGGGGATCAGCCCACAGCCTGGCACGTGTCCTGACCAGGGGATCGAACCAGCAACCTCCCAGTGCATGGGAACATGCTCAACCACTGAGCCACACCAGCCAGGGCTCACTTGACTTTAAAAATAGAGTATCAGCCCTGGCCGGTTTGGCTCAGTGGTTAGAGCATCGGCCTGCGGACCAGAGTCCTGGGTTTGGTTCCCGCTAAGGGCAGGTGCCTCGGTTGCAGTTTGTCCCCGGCCCTGGTTGGGGTCGTGTGGATGGTGACCAGTCCATGTGTCTCTCTCACATCGATGTTTCTCTCTCTCTCTTCCCCCCTCTCTCCCTCCTGCTCTATCTGAAGATAAATATAAAAATGTCCTTGGGTGAGGATTAAAAAAAAAAAATTGAGTATCAGTTACTCTGTCCACCCCTAAGATGAGTCCACCGTGGTCTCCAGACCTGGGCAGAGGCAGTGATACCAATGACCACACCGAGTCCCCTTCCGGGGGTTTGTGTCACCAGCTGCGGCAGTGGTGGGGACAGAGTCCTAGACACCGTCCCCCCAGGCATCCCCTTCACGTGGCCTTTCCGACCTTGTGCAGGAAGGAGCCCCGTCCAGTCTCATTTTGGGTCCAGCCTCATCGGCAGCCCCACACACTCCTCCAAAGGCAGCTACATCAGCTATCGGGAAACCATTGCGACTTCTCTCCTAAACCTGGGCCAAGTCTCCGAAGAGACGCTGGTCAGGGAGGGCTCGGACCAAGAAGCCGAACCCGGCAGCACCGTGCACCTGGTTCCGGAGGAAGATGAAGGGGCCACCAGCGACGAAGGGGAGAAGGACGTCTTTGTTCAGCCGGAGGACGCAGAGGAGGTCATCGAGGTCACCAGCGAGCGCTCCCAGGAGCTCTGTCCCCAGGCCTCGGAGGGAGTGGCCAGTGAGGAGTCGAGCCAGCAGAAAGTCTCCCTCAGCCACGCGGAGGAAGAGGAGGAGGAAGACGAGGAGGACGAGGAGGACGAGGACGAGGACGAGGAGGACGAGGACGATGACGAAGAGGAGGCCGCTCTCAGTGTGACCTGCCAGGAGGGCGCTCCCCACGCCGCCCCCAGAAAGGCCTCTGTGCTCCCCAGTCCCAAGCCGGAGTACTCGGTCATAGTGGAGGTGCACTCCGACGACGGCAAGGACGAGGACTCGCGCTCCCAGAAGTCTGTGGTGACGGACGAGTCGGAGATGTACGACATGATGACCCGGGGCAACCTGGGCCTCCTGGAGCAGGCCATCGCCCTGAAGGCCGAGCAGGTGCGGGCTGGGAGCGAGCCCGCGGAGCAGGGCACAGGCGAGTCGGTGAAGGTGGGCAGGCCCCTGGATGCCACGCGGAAGGCCTACTGCAGCAAAGGTAGGGCCGGAGCCCGATGGGTCCCCCACCCTCACCAGGGACAGCGGTGCTGATGCAGGCCCAGCAGACACAGCCTGAGCACCGCTGGGGGCGGGGGCGCAGGCGAGATGAGGGGCAGATATGCGCACAGTGTGGTCACTGCTTGGAGAACGTGAGCTCATGCTGCTCACACAGGGTCATCGGAGAGAAACACAGAGCTGAGGGCAGAGAGGAGAAACAGTGACCCAGCTCAGTGCTCAGCCCCAGCCTGGGGAGCCCCCTGGGTCATGGAGGGACACAGACAGACCTGGGGGACCCACCTGGGTCATGGAGGGACACAGACAGATTTGGGGGACCCACCTGGGTCATGGAGGGACACAGAAAGACCTGGGGGGAGCCCCCTGGTTCGTGAATGGACTTGAGAGGGCTCAGGGACCTCCTAGCTTGTGGAGGCCTAGGGCCATGTTTTCTGGGAACACTCCCTCATAGGAGACCGGCTTGGGGGCAGATATTCAGGGACACAGGTGAGGGGCCCAGATGGAGACATTTCAACCTGAGGATAGCTGTCAAGGGGAGACACTTCAGGGTGGCACAGACTTGAGGGACAGCAGTTTGGGGGCTCCAATTCTGGCCAGCATAAGCCATGCATGGGCCTTGAGGGGATGTGACACCAGGAGACCCACATGAATATGACATGGACTCGGGGGTGGTGTCGAGTGACAGTCCGGGGCCCACAGGTCAGTGGGACACTGTTGGAGAGGAGCACGACTGGGGACACGGGGACAGAGTGACCCCCCAGGCCCAGGTGTTTGGGGACTCACACCTGTGGGACGGACATCAGGGTCTCGAGTGCAGTGGCCGAGCTGGGAGTGCCAGGTGGTGCCACGCAGGCCTCGCGGGACTGACGCGGGCGCAGATGAGGGCGTCCAGCACAGAGGCTCAGGAAGCAAGTATGGGAGGTTCCTCAGCCCCCTCCGTGCTGGGGCTCAGGCCTTCTGGGTTCTCCCAGAGGGAAGGGCTCTGCCCACAAGTTTGTCAGGGGCACAGGCCTGCTCTGGAGATCATCGGTGTCCTGACAGGTGTCCCCTTGGGCTCCCACACTCACCTGTGACCTCTCTGGGCCTGCAGAGGCCGGATGAGGCCCGTCCTGAGATCTGAACTTCAATTCCTGCCCAGGCATTTGTTAGTCCTGTGGCTTTGCGGGAGTTCCTCATCTTTGTCCTCATTTTGTCAGATCTAAAGGACATGTCCTGGCAGGGACCTTGTCACCTCAACTTCACTTTTCTTTCTTTCTTAAAAAAAATTTTTTTTCTTTATTGATTTTAGAGAGAGAGGAAGGGAGAGGGAGAGAGAGAAACATCGATGAGAGAGAACATCCACTGGCCACCTCCTGCACAACCCCCACTGGGGATGGGCTCACAACCTGGGCATGTGCCCTGACCAGAAATCGAACTGGAGACCTCTTGGTGCAGGGTCGATGCTCAGCCCCTGAGCCACACTGGCCGGGCCACCGTCACCTTTCTGTGCAGGGGCCGGGCCTCGGGGTGGGGACCTGGGCAGTTCCCCCCTCTGGAGGAGCAGGAGAGGGGACGGCCCAGCTGTGCCACTGGAGCAGTTTGGTCGGCCTCCCGGCTTCTCCAGTCTCTGGGCAGACACCTCCTTGTCCAGCCTGGTCCCTCCAGTGGTCTTGGGCAGACTGGCCGCTCCCCTCGCTGCCCGCCACCTGCCGCACGGCTCTGGGCACCTTCCGACTGGTGTGTTGTGCCTATGCAGATTCCTCAAGAGCAGAGAAACGTGAGATTAAGTGCCCGACGCCAGGCTGTGACGGCACCGGCCACGTGACTGGGTTGTACCCTCACCACCGCAGCCTGTCTGGCTGCCCCCACAAGGACAGGATTCCTCCGGAGAGTGAGTAGCTCGGCACACCTCTGACGTTCAGACCATGTCCACGTGGAGGAGTGGCCACTTGGGGCTCCCCCTTGGATGGGCACCGTCCAGATGCCCAAACCTGAATAAGGCTGGGGACGTGGAGAATGCCCAGTCATTCTCCTTGAGACGGCAGAGTGGGCCAGGGCCCTGGAAGACGGTCATGGCACAGGCACCCGAGGGAGAGGAGGCAGCTGGGGGGAGGCTCTGTCTGTCCTGCAGGCTCAGGGGGCCTGTCCTGGTTTCCAGGCTGGAGGCAGTAACTGAGGCCGACAGGTTTGAGTCACAGGACAGCCAGCGGCTGCGAAGCTGAGTTCATTTCTGCCCCAAGGAGGCAGGGGGCATGGGGGGGGGGGTGTCCATGACAGGGCTGAGGCTTGGGTGCTGGGGCCGCCCTGACTGCCGCTCCAGGGTGCTAGGTGCCCTTCAGACAGGGCTCCTGCACCCTCTGGCTGTGCTCACCCCCCACCCCCGTCCTCTTACAGTCTTGGCCATGCACGAGAACGTGCTCAAGTGCCCCACGCCCGGCTGCACCGGCCAGGGCCACGTGAACAGCAACCGCAACACACACAGAAGGTACTTGCCGAGCTGGGCGTGGCGAGGGTGGGGGTGGGGTCCGCCAGCCCACCGTGGCTCCTCGGGCTCCGTGCAAGATCAGGGCCTCCGTGTGCTGTGCTTAGACTTCCCAGACAGACCCCTGAGCAGCTCGTGCTTTGAGGCTCGAGCACAGAGCAGAGAACACCCAGCTCTGGAGACAGGCCGGGTTCCCAGGGCTCCTGTGGGCACCTGCCATGTGCCCACTTGACAGGCAGAGACTAGAGAAGAGTGTTTAGCTATTCCCCTTGTCCTTTAGTTTGTCCGGGTGTCCCATTGCTGCTGCAGAAAAATTAGCCAAATCTCACGAGAAGCAACAGCCGCAGACGGGAGATCCTTCCAAGACAGGCTCCAATTCAGATCGGATCCTCAGGTGAGTGCAAGGACCACAGCCCTGGAGGGGCTGCCTCTGGATTGCCTGTGTGTGTGTGCCCGTGCCTGTGTGCATGTGTGTGCCTGTATGCGTGTGCCCGTGCCTGTGTGTGTGTGCTCGTGTGTGCATGTGCGTGTACCCATGCCTGTGTGCCTGTGCGCGTGTGCATGCGCCTGTTTGCATGTGCATATGCCTGTGCCTGTGAGTGTTCCTATGTGCATGTGCCCGTGCGCATGTCCTTGTGTGCGTGTGCATGTGCCCACGTGAGTGTGCCTGTGCCTGTGTGCGTGTGCATGCATGTGTCCGTGTGCCTGTGCCCATGCCTGTGTGCGTGTGCTGATGTCTCAAGTAGCTGTGGGGCCTTCCATGGTGGAGCTGGAGGGCAGTTTGGGGGCACACAGGACAGTTTCTATTCTGCTGCAGAGGTGGGGTGGGAGTCCCCCAGGCCTTCTCTCTGCGCTGACGGGAACAGAAGTTCCTCTGCACCCGGCACAGTGGGCAGCTTCCTCCCTGGTGGTCTTCGTGCCCTGGCTTCTGGGCTGTCTGGGCTGGGGCCTCAGGCCATCTCTGGTGCATTTAAACCTCTGAACTCTGGAGCTTCAGTGACAATGAGCGAACCTCCTGCAGTGGCTGCTCCTGCCCTGGGCCCTGCTGCGGTGCCTTCAGGGGCCGTCTCGACCAGCCCTACCCAGGGAAGGGTGCAGTGGGGCTGGTTCTCAGAAACAGGCCCCAGATCCCTCCCCCTGGGGCCCTCCCCTCCCACCAATAGAGTTCTGCCCTGCAGCGGCTGCTGCCTGGCTCCTGGCCAAGGGCTCCTACCAACTGTCACTGAGCTGCTGGAAATCTGCTCTCCTGCGTTCTGGGGGAGAGTCCCAGGCCGTGTCTCCTCTGGCTCATGCTGTCTACAAGGGGACAAGCCATTCCTCATACAGATCAGGTCCCAGGCAGGCACGGGGGAGGGTCCACCGGGGGCTCTGAGGGCTGTGCCGGCTGTGGGCTAAGGCTGCGGAGATGAGGCCTGGCCTCATGGCTCTGCATCTCCTTGCTCCCCAGACCCATGTGCTTTGTGAAGCAGTTCGAGGTCCCTCCATACGGAAGCTGCCGGTCCAGTGTGGCCCCTTCCACGCCCAGGGCCAACCTGGCCAAGGAGCTGGAGAAGTTCTCCAAGGTCACCTTCGACTACGCAAGTTTTGATGCTCAGGTGTTTGGCAAACGCATGCTTGCCCCAAAGATTCAGACCAGCGAAACCTCACCTAAAGCCTTTAAATGTAAGTTGGGGAGAACTGCCCCTGGGAGGTGCAGGGGAGGCGCCGTGAAGGAGGGGCCCTGCCAGGAGCACGAGGGGAGTCTGTCCTGGGGGCTGACGGGTGGAACCAGGGTGTTAGCTGGCTCCGTGTCCACCCTTCCTTGTTCGTCATCAGACGCGAAGTGAGCCCTCAATATTCGTGAAACGAAACCAGGTCCTTTGTGGTGTGCACGTCCAAAGGCCTGAGGATAACTTCGCTGACATGGTCCCCCTTTGACATCTCCTCTTGGCCATCTCCTCCCAGCCTGCTTGTTCTGACACAGCGGGGCAGGGTGTGCACACACGTGTGTGCGTGTGTGTGCACACACACGTGTGTGCGTGTGTGCATGCGTGTGTGCTTGGGTCTGTGTTTGGTGTCTGGGGTGGGTCAGACAACTGCTGTGCTGAGCCTGGTACCCAGACAGGAGCCATTTCCTTCCTACACGGGACCGTCTTGCTGGATACAACGTGTTATCTGTGATACTAGCAACACATTCTCTGCGCACTTGTTCTAACAGAGATGCGCCTTTGGGAACAATCCTTCCTGTCTCTTTTGTCACTTATCACACTGGTGTGTGGGTTGCCAGCCCATTAGCCCTGGAAATGCACATGAGATGGGAGAGCACCTGCACCACGGCGTCTCCTGGAGGACGTGCGGCTTCCTGCCCGTGAATAATGAGCACACCCGTGGATTCAGTGATGGCGGAAGCACGCGCGCCTCTCCGCTCCTTAGGACGAGGCTTCCTGCCCTCGCGCTTGGGCACCCACGGCACCAGCACACTCACAGGGAACTTTCCGTCCGTCGGCAAGTTTGCTGTGGGTCCGTGATCACTCAGACGTCTCAGGCCTGGTGGGCCTCATGTCGATTTCAACAGTCACGTTGCTTAGTTAAAGCAGGAACTATTATGGGGACACTGAAATCAGCCTTTTGAGATGTTTGACGCAGTTGTCCTGCCTGCGTGATACCCCAAACACCCATCCTGTCGCCTTCCGTCTTCTGGTCACCATTCTCCGAGGGATAACTGGTTTTTGTTTGAAATATCAGGGATGCTGGATGTCTTCGGAGGGTTTTGTTCTTTCTGTACAAATTTTGGTCAGGCCCGAAATAGCCTCCTCAGTCCCACCCAGGAGTGCGGGTTGGGTGTGGGGCACATGTGAGCAGCCTGAAGGACCCGTCGCTCGCCCTGTGTGCCCACCCCTGGAAGTCCCTCCGTGTCACCTCCTGCCCTTCCTCAGCCCGTCCGCTCCCTTTGCAGCCTTCCCGAGGGCCTCCTCCCCCGGCACAGCTCTCCCCTCTTCCGCAGGCTTCGACTACTCACACGACGCCGAGGCCGCACACATGGCCGCTACCGCCATCCTGAACCTCTCCACGCGCTGCTGGGAGATGCCTGAGAACCTCAGCACGAAGCCACAGGGGGCCCCCAGCAAGGTCTGTGTGTCCCGCAGGGAGCCCCTTCCGAGGCACAGGTCATTGAGAGGAGTTTGCAGTCAGGACCACAGGCCTCTGAGCAAGAGGTTCTTGGGATCACCCAGTGTCTGTCTGGAGATCATCATTCCCTCCTTTTCTACCCCCAGCTGTGGCCTCCAGATGGGAGCTTTCTTTCTTTCTTTTTTTTTTTTTTTAATATATTTTATTATTATTATTTTTTATCCTCACCGGAGGACGTTTTTCCATTTTTTGTTCAGATAGAGTGGGAGGGAAAGAGGGAGGGAAAGAGAGAGAGAGAGAGAGAAACATCGACGTGAAAGGGACACATCGAGTGGCTCCCACTCGCACAACCCAACCAGGGCCGGGGACAAACTGCAACCGAGGTACGTGCCCTTAGCGGGAACCGAACCCGGGTCTCTCCAGACCGCAGGCCGACGCTCTAACCGCTGAGCCAAACCGGCCAGGGCCAGATGGGAGCTTTCTGAGAGCTGGTGCTATGCCAGCGAGAGACCACAGGCTGTGCACACGTGTGTCCTCGTGCCTCCCTGAGTCTGAGGGCTGTACACACGCATGTCCTCGTGTCTCCCTGAGTCTGAGGGTTGTGCACACACGTGTGTCCTCGTGTCTCCCTGAGTCCGAGGGTCATGCACACGTGTGTCCTCGTGTCTCCTCGAGTCTGAGGGTCATGCACACACGTGTGTCCTCGTGTCTCCCCGAGTCTGAGGGTCATGCACACACGTGTGTCCTCGTGTCTCCCTGAGTCTGAAGATCATGCACATGCTCTCGTCTGACCATGCTCGTGCGCTCAAGGATGTAGTCTGTGATCCAGGGAGACTGGAAGGAAGGAGGTAGAGTCTCCTCCATGTGGGTTTCAGGACTCACGTCCCAGAGGCTCTTCTACTGTGTTTGGCTTCCTTCTGAGGGAACCTGTTTCGGAGTCTGCAAAGCTGCTGTCAGTATCTCCAGGCCCACGCGGAGGGTGTGGCGTTGCAGACACAGATGGCTCCTTTGCGTTGCAGTCCGCGGACATTGAGGTGGATGAAAACGGGACCCTGGACTTGAGCATGCACAGGCACCGCAAGCGGGACGGCGCGTTCCCTGGCGGCGGTGGCGGTGGTGGCGGCGGCAGCCCCGGGGTGAAGTCTCCCGACGCCTCCCAGCGCCAGAGCAGCACCAGCACCCCCGGCAGCTCCATGACCTCACCCCAGTCCAGCCAGGCCTCCCGCCAGGATGAGTGGGACCGGCCCCTGGACTACACCAAGCCCAGCCGCCCCCGAGAGGAGGAGCCTGAGGAGGTGGGTGCCAGGCCTGAGGGCTGCTCCCGGGCAGAGCCGCCAGGGTCCTGTCCTTTCGCACCCAGGGTTCTGCCCCTCGGGCAGCTAGGACTCGGCCCACCTCCAGGAGGGGTTCACCGCTGGGCGATGCTGTGTCCTTGTCCCTCCTGAGGACGGTGGTCTCTTCACCTCTGAAGACACCGTGGTCGGCACGAAAGGGGCCTCTGAGAGCCTGGGGGAGAGGGGGCTTCCTTCAGACCCCACCGGGGTGACCTGGGAATGGCTCAGAATTCCTTGGGCTTCCCACCAACCTGCTTTCCAAACAGGGACACCCTGGACCCCAGTAGTAGCCCTTTCTTCAGTTCCCAGGGTGCTCCAGGCCGTTGTCTCCTTGGACAGAGGCGGGGGAGGACTCCCGGCCTTGGAGCCTGTGCTGGGGAGTGGCCCGAGTCCCAAGACAAGCACCCCCTGTAAAGAGCTAAGAGCTGGCCTCTGTATCGGGGCTGTGGTCTGGAGACGGTGGGCAGTCCCCATCCCGTCACTCCACCCACCTGAGGCTGATGGAGGAATTTTTCCAAAGAGCTGTGCGTCCGGAACAGAAAGCCCAACCCTGAGGGTGTCCGGTGCCCGGCGGCTGCGCGGTGCGGGCTGGTCTGCAGGTCCCCTCACCGTTCTCTCCCTGCCAGCCCGCCACACACACCAGGAGGGGGGGCAGGTGGCGGGGAGAGCCCCTCACCTCCGTGGTTCCGTCTTGCGGTGAACTGGGCTCCCTCTGCACGCGTCCTAGGCAACCCCACCCTGCAGAGCAGCGGACTGGGCCCCAGGCTGAGGTCACATGCTCAGTCACATGGCTGTAACTAGGTGTTGGGCCTCGGAAGAGGGGCACCTCTGAGGCAGCCCTGAGTGGGGGCCGCTGACCTGAGACTCGCCTACTGGGGCCTCCTGTGTGGATGACATCTGCTGTCATCCTTGTTCCTGTCTTGCCCCCAGGACTTCGCCGCACTTCCTCCCCCAGTGACCTCGCCCCTAGTGGCCCCCTCTGGCTCCTTTACTGGCCCTTTTCCTCAACCCCCATCTCAAGCTGATCCCCTTCCCTGGGCTGGTCTTTGTCTCCTTGAGACCTTCTCCCCTCGCAGGCCTCTTGCCGTCACCCGTAGGCGCCCAGCTCTCTGAAGCCTGTTCCCACGCTCTGCCCCGCGGCCGATAGTCTTCCCTCCAGGCAGAAGCCTCAGCTCGTGCCCAGACCCTTCCTCTCCTCCAGCTGCCTCTCCTAGGTGGGGGGCCCACATCCCAATGGGTCACCCCTAGAAACACTCCTGAGCCAGGCCCTCTCGGTGGTTGGACCACAGCCCTGGACTTCCGGCTCAGACCCTCCCTCCAGCTCCGCCCTGTCCGGCCCCGCCTGCTCCGGCCTCTGCAGCACCCTCACCGTCCACAGGCCTCGGCAGGCTCTCCCGGGGGTTGCTTCTGGGAACCCCATCCATCCTGAAGAGCAGCTTCTTTAAAAAAAAAACTTAAAAAAATTAAATGCACTGGGGTGACTGACATCGGTTAGTAGCTTGCAGCTCGACCAGGCGAATGAGTCCATGACAGTGACAAGACCTTGCGCAGGGCGGATGCTGGGCTGTGTTCCAGGGAGTTTCCTCCTCTAACCCCTAGAAGTCCCGTGGGGGCAGCCCTTAGCTCCAGTTTCAAAGTGACACCTGGGCCCAAGAGTTTAAACACTTGCTGGGGGGACAGAGTGAGTGCCGGGCTGGGGCCAGGCAAGTGCCCATCAGGACAGCCTGCAGGCCGTGGCTCCCTGACCTGTGGGCTGCCCCCCAGTGGCAGGGACTGTCCTGTTTAGCCCTGTGTCCTCAGCTCCCTGCCTGTGGGTGGTGACTGAACACCTCCAGACCCTGCGTTCGAGCTCAAAAAGCATATTAAGTGCTGGCTCTGGTTTGGGCACGGTGCTAGGTGCACAGGGCAGAGGGTCACAGGTTATGCTGACCAGAGCCAGGACTTTGCATGTCATCACACCGTGCCCATCGCACAGACTTGCACGCACATGTCTTGGTGCCCCTGTGCCCTGAGCACGCCCGCCCATGGCAGGGGCTGCCCTGAGCGTCGACTTGAGTTTGGGAGGTGGCCCAGCGGCCGTTCGATGGTGGCGACCCTCATGCCAGGGACATGGAAGGTGTCAGGAGGCCCCCATCCTTGGGGCAGCTCTGGCTGAGGATGGGGAACACTCCAGCCCCTTGGGGTGCTGTCTTCTGTGCCTTTGGGGGTAATCTTGCTCCCTCACCCAGCAGATAGGAGACTAGAGAGACGCCTCTGTGGACACTGCTCTGAAGGGTCCCTCAGCCCGGGCCCGGGCGCCCGGCCCGCCAGCGGCTAAAACCTCTCCCTGCTGGTCTTTTGCAGTCAGAGCCAGCAGCCCATTCTTTTGCTTCTTCTGAAGCAGATGACCAGGAAGTGTCGGAAGAGAATTTTGAGGAGCGGAAGTACCCCGGGGAAGTCACCCTGACCAACTTTAAGCTGAAGTTTCTCTCCAAGGACATAAAGAAGGAGCTGCTCACGTAAGTCCCCGCCTTGGCCAACAGGACTCCTCGGAGAACCTCCAGCTGGAAAGGATGTGGCCGAGCCAGCCTGGGGTGGCATCTGCTCCGCTGGGGCCTTTAGCTGCCCTCCGGGCAGAGCTGGGCCCGGCCACAGTGGAGGGCAGGTTTCCCATCACTCCACACTGCCGGGTGCCCACTTGTCCTCCCATGTGCCTGAGCACGAGAAGGGGCCCGTCCGACCCACAGCAGGACGAGGCCGAGGCCGAGGGGGGCTGCCCGCTCCTGAGCGGCAGCTGCCTGCCCTGGTCCCAGTGGCAGGCGTGATGTTCGATCTCTCAGCTCAGTGCCCTCAGCTGGAGCAGCCTGGCTGCCCCTTGGAGCTGGTCCCCAGAGGGTTCACCAGATGTCACTGGAGAGCAGGGAATCTGCTGGGAGGCATGAGCTGCTCGGTCAGATGCCATCCCTCAGCCTTCTGGTCAACCCCCTGAGTGCACCTCTCCTCAAGGCCTGTGAGGCTGTCCCTGCACCTGTGCCCAGTTCCTCTTCTTGTCCCGAACCTCCTACTCTGTAGCTGGCCCTCCAGGACGGCCAGATGCGAGCTCTGGTCAGGGACCTTGTCCTCATGGAAGGCCGTGCACTTCAGAAAGGAACCCCCGTGTGTTCTGGGCACCCACACGCGTGCACACGCACATGCGTGCTTGAGACACCCGGGCTTCGGGTGGGCTCCTCGTCCTTCTTGGGCTGCACTGTGGGAGGGTTGCCGTCCGAGGCTGTGGCTGTGCTCTGAGGACAGTGGGGAGGAATTACCCCTTGGCCCGTGGGTGACCGAGGAGAAGGTGCCACCACTGCCCCTGTGCAGGCTCAGCCGGGGCAGGCCTGCCAGGTGGGCCCGCTCTGTTCTGACGCTCTCTTTCCTTTGTCCAGCTGCCCCACCCCCGGCTGTGACGGCAGTGGCCACATCACCGGGAACTATGCCTCCCACCGCAGGTTGGTCCCCACCTGGCCGGCCCAGCCAGGGTGCACGTGGTGGGTCTCCTTCCTCTCCTGCTCTGCTCCCTCTTCGGCTGACCCCCCTCTCTTCTCTTCCAGCCTCTCTGGTTGCCCTCTTGCTGACAAGAGCCTCAGAAACCTCATGGCTGCCCATTCTGCTGACCTCAAGTATGTCTGCCCTCCTGGCTGCCCATCTCTTCTTGGGTGGCCCCCTGGCTTTGCTGTCCCCTTCCATGAGGCTCCAGCCCAAATCGGCCTTCTCCAGGGCCCCGCTCCCAGGCCAGCCCCGCCTGCAGGAGGGGGCAGAGCGACAGGGCGGAGGAGAGGCCGATCCGCGTGGCTGGGGCCGCTGCTGCTTGTGTCTCCCTGCTCTGAGTGCTGCTCTGTCTCCCCACCGGCCGGGGCTGCTCGGGCTCCTGTGCTGCCCTGGGCCCTGCCAGCCTCTCCCAGGGCCCAGGGCAGCAGCACCGCCCGCAGCCCCTGGGGCCCGGCCCTTCTCTCCCTGCCGTCTCTGCACGTGGGGCTGGAGCAGCCCCAAACCGGCTCACTTGTCAGTGGGCTGTGGGCTGGCGCGCGGCTCGGCCAGCGAAGCAGCGGCAGGGACAGAGAACGCTCGTGGCCTCCTCTCTGCTGCCCTCGGCCGCTCTGCCGGCCTGGCCCCGACGGCCGCTCCTCCTGCGCTTGCCTTCTCTCTGCTGAGCCCTCCTCTTTCTGCGTCTGCTCCTCCCTGCCCCCAGCCAGGGCCAGGCAGGCCCGGGGCACCCGCATGGGCCTGGCAGCCCTGCTCAGAGGCACCCAGAGGTCTCCCAGGAATCAGTGTCCCCTTGGGGCAGAGTCGGGGGCCGTCCTTGCCTTTGGTTTTCATGCCTTCAGTGGATCTGTGACATGCTGGTCCTGGGCTGGCAGGCTGGGCCAAGGTTGGGGAAGGGTCAGCCCTTCTTCAGGTGTGTCCCCCCCTCGGGCCTCTGTGTGGGGAGGCCCTGAGTCCAGACACATTTCCTGGCTCATTTCATTCTGGGCCGGACGGGGGCCAGGGCCCTGGGGCCGCTGAGATGAGGCTCTGTTGTTGCTGAAGCTCCAGGGACCCGGCTGATGAGACACAGGGCAGAGCTCAGGGCTCCGTCTGTCCGGCCGCTGGGGGATGCGTCTCGTTGCGCCTGGTTACTCGGGGACCTCTGTCCCTGCAGGGGGGCCGAGACGCTCAGGCCTGGGGGCCTCTCCTCGCCTCTTCTCTTCCCGTTGTTCTCACACTCCTTTCTCCTGGCTTCTCCGCCGATCCCACTGGGACTGGCTTCATGGATTTCCCGTTTGAGGGCCCGAATGATTGTAGAGCCGTGACCACCTGTGCTCAGGGCCGAGGACGGAAAACACCAGGAATGTGGCTGTTGAGACGGTTACATCCTCTGAGACTAAAAGCCTGTGAGGAACGTTAACCCCAAACGTAGAAATAGCAACAGAAAATCCTCTGGTGCGAAAAGCTGTCATCTCCAGCCTCAGGAAGGCGGGGAAGGTGGCCAAGGTTCCCGACCCCTTCGGAAGCTCTTCTCCCCCCAGGGTCTGCCACGCAGCCCATGGCCTCAGTGTGGGTTTGGGGTGAGGTGGGCCAGGCCCCGCACTTTCCTGGTGCTCGACGCTCCCCTCTCCTCCCTCCTCCTGGCCAGTGGCATCTGTCGTGGGCGGGGGTGGGGGGCAGAGACTCGACCACTGCTTTGCAAGAGATGCCCTTTCGGTGGCCTCCCCATCGACACTGGGGGGCGGGTTTCTGTGTTCACCACACCCCCAGGCACTGCTGTCCTTCCTGTGCAGTGTGGCAGGGCTGGGACACGAGCTGCTTGACCCAGTCTGCGTGGGGAGGTGGGTGCAGGGGATGACGGGGCTCTGCACAGGATGGGGACAGAGCTGGGGCTCGGAGGCCAGAGTCTGTGTCCCCGAGCTGCAGAGCCTTGGCTACAGGGCTCCTCCTCCCAGACCACCCGCTCAAAGGCAAATGCTGGGAGGATCCCTACAGCTGACCCTGTGCATCCTCAGGGCCCCAGGAGTGGCTGATGCCGCAGGCACCCCATGTGGGCACCTGTTTCTCCAGCCGCATGGACACCATCCCCTCAGGTATGACTTGGAAAAGCTGTGGAACTGGGCTCAGCAGGACAGCCCCCTGCCTGGAGCAGGTGCACCTCATGGTGCTTCGTGGATGCCGGCCCGCCTGTGCTGGGGCCTGGCAAGGACCACCCACATGTGGGTTCTCAATGAGTCACCCCATGCCCCCAGACTCAGGCCCCACTGGGGTCTGCACCTCACAGGGTCGTTACCCACCATCCAGAGCTGCACTACGACCATCAGGTCCCAGGACACGACCCACCCGCTGAGCCTCTGAGTTCTGTCACTCGGGTCCTTGAGGGTGAGAAGAAGCAAAGCCCCAGGGGCGGCCGGAGCAAACACAACCTGGGAAGGAGGAGCAGGGGGCCCTCGGCAGCCACCCCCAGCTGAGGAAGGGGCAGCAGGGCATCGCGGGGGCTGTGGCTACGGCACAAAGAGCTCTGTGAGGGACACCCCATTGTGGCTGAAGGACCCAGTGTGCCAGCCGCTGGTGCCACGGACCTTGGACCGCACACAGACAGCATGTGTCCAAGCAGGAGCGCTGCAGCAGCTGGGGACTGTGGGAAAGGGTGACGCCTGCCTGGGCGGGGGTGGGGGTGGCTCCTACTAAAATGCAAACACCTCCTTGTCCCAGACACGCTTGGGTTGAAATGTCAGCACATGTGACTGGGATGGGAGCCACCATAACCTCAGTGGGGTTAGAGTTACCCCAAAACCCAGTCAGAGGGTGATTTGACCGGTCGGGCCAGCTGCCACACCAGGGAGGCATCTGGTGTGCGGCCCTGGGGCAGCGATGAGGGGCCCCAGAAGTCCTGGGGGCTGCAGAAGGACTGGGCAGGCAGAGGCCAGAGGAGCCCCTCAGCATTGAGCCCATGTTGCGTGCCAGCCTCGAGGATTCTCTGGCGGGGCAGGCAGTGCGGCCTGCTGGGCTCTGGGAGGCAAAGACCTGTGCCCTGTTCCAGTGGGCACTTGTGCCCAGGACCCTCTAGGGCCATGGTTCTCTGATCTCGAGTGTGAAGTCGGGATGAGAGCTCTGTGGGCAACAGGCCCTCAAACGCAGACGCCACAGCCTGGCCTGCCCCTGGGCTGAAACTGCATCCTCCTGGGGGGCACGGATCACGTGCCGGGTGGCTCTGGAGGGGCTTCCAATGGGCGCAGCTGTGGCCGGGCGCCTCTCCGCGCTCGGATAGCAGCAGGGACCCACTCACGTCTCTCAGCGGTCACGCAGGGAGAAATGGTTCCCCCGCCTCGGGGTGTGTTTGTCAAACGTGCCGTGTGTGCAGTTAGGCTGCGTGTGCTTCCCCTCCTGTGCCGGCGCCGGCACCTCAGGGAGGGAACACGCCCCAGGAGGACCAGCGCCGAGGCTGTGCTGTGGGTGCTAAGCCCACACGTGCTCACGTGCTCACACAGTGCAGCCCTTCCCGAGAAAGGCCCCTTCCTCCCAGTGGCGACGTGAAGACAGACTTCGCAGGTGCTAGGTTTCTTTTCCTGACCCTTGTGCAAAGGGAAAGGCCTGTATGGGTTCTAGAACCTTCCATTGCACCCTGAAACCCTGCAGGAGGCTGGGCTGGGAGCCCAGGGCGCCTGCCGTGGGAATGTGCTCTCTTCCTGGCCTTCCTGGGCCTCCTTGGGGGACTGAGTGGCCAAGTCCTGCAGGCCGGAGGTTGTGGCAGAGGCTGCTTGCAAGACCAGCCCAGTGGGCTGAGGGCACAGCTGTCCTCGGTGGCGTGTGTCTTTCCTGGCTCTGGCCCCAGCTCCCCTGTCCTTGGCAGGTGCCCCACGCCCGGCTGCGACGGCTCCGGCCACATAACAGGGAACTACGCTTCGCACCGGAGGTGAGCACTGGGGTTCCAGGGGGTGGGGTCGTTCCTTCCGATGAAGGTGTAAAGCTCCGAATGAGACGCTAATGTTGCTGGCAACCAGGCTGGGGTGCCCTTTGCACCCAGAATTGGGGCTCCTGGTGACAGGTCCTGTGGGCGGGACCTCCCAGGGCTGCTGGCCCCGGGCTCGAGAGGAGGGCTGAGGCAGGGCTGAGAGGTGCTGTTCTAGGACCACGGTTGTGTTTCTCCTCTTTCAAAACAAGCTTATCAGGCTGCCCTCGCGCCAAGAAAACTGGACCCAAAGTGACGCCAACGAAGGACGACAAGGACGACCCCGAGCTGATGAAGTGAGTCAGGGATGATCTTGTATCTGGAATTGCAAAGCTCCTCTCAATTCCCTTTCCCTGAACACGGCTGGTCGGTGGCCACACCTGCTTTTACAGGTGTTCTTGTCCCGTGCACGTGGGTGCCTGCAGAGGCGCGAGCCATGTGCGTGTGTCAGGGGCACACAGGCCCTGGCCCCGCGGGGTGAGAGGCAAGGCGCCTGGCTACACGTGCACCTGGGGGCCACCTGGGCACGGGGCTTAGGGTGTGGGCAGCCCCACAGTGTGCTCGTGGGCACTGGTCTCTGCATGACTTCATTCTGGTGGGAAAGGTCAGGTGTAGGAGTCAAGGAGGAGGCTGTGGTGAGAAAGATGAGAAATCCTTCAGTTGTGAGTGTCAGCACTTGCACCCTGCACACGCACCTGCACACACACTTGTACACTCACACGCCTGCACATATGCACCTGCACACACACTTGCACACTCACACTCACACACACTCACTCGTACACTCACACCCTGCACATTCACCTGCATACACGTGTACACTCACACACCTGCTTACACACTCGCATGAATGCACCTGCACATTTGCACACCCGCACCTGCACACACCCACCTGCATACACCTGCATGCACACACCCACACTTGCACACCTGCACACACTCGCACACTCATACACATGCTCACACACCCTCACACACACCTGCACACAAACTCACACTTGCACATCCACACACTCGCACATCTGCATGCACACATACCTGCACATTTGCACACATGCACACTTATACACCTGCACACCTACACATGTGCACACTCACACATTCACACACCTGCACATTTGCACACTCACACACCTGCACATTCACACACCGTTGTAGGGAGCTGGTGTAAGATTCCTAGAGGTTCATCCTGAACTGGGGCCTCGACATGGCTGTGGGGAGGAGAGAGGACATCCTGTGCCTCACCTGACTGAAGTCCCTGAGCCCTCTACTGGCCATCTTCCTGGGGATGTCTGATGTGTCACAGGGGCTTGTGCATGAACTCTGACCCTGTGTGCCCCACTCATTGAGGGCTTGTACTATGCGAGCTAATCCTTCCAGAAGGAAATTTGCCCCCTAGAACCCCTACTAGCAGATGAGGGCCAGGCCACAGGTGCAAACAGGGAAACCCACCATGCGATTCGCCCAGGGCTTTGAGAGCTGACATGGCAAAGCAGCAGCCAGGGCTGGCTTGGTCAGGGCAGGGCCTGTCAGGTGGTAAGGCTGATCCAAGAGGGGGCAGGTCTGCCCTCACCATGTTGCCTGGTGGCCAAGAGCAGCCAGATCCTCACCCCCGCAGAGGGCCGCGGCCTGGGCCAGCTGCGCTTGGCCACGGAGGAAGGGCGTGATCGATCTGCATCCTCCTCTTCAAAGGCGGCTGTTTCCTGTAATAGGCTGTGACTTTTTTCTGTGTTTATTATATGGCAACAGAATAATGAATGCTACATCAAAAATGCAAAACGTGTTGTTGTTGGAATGCTGCCTGCGAGGGTGGCTAGGAGTGTTTCCTTCTGCGACTCCAGGGGCCGCCTGTGCCCAAGTGCATGGAATGCCAGGCCCTGCTGGTCGGCTGCGTGACTGCGTCGTGCTGTCTTTGGAAAGGATTCAAACTGACATCAGCATTTCCCGAGTTAACCGGGAGAAATGGTTTTCCTTCTAGTGTGCTGTCAGCTTCGTTTTTACAAAACACGAGATTTCTGCAGCCAACTGGGGAACGTGACTTTCAGAAACAGTTTAGCATTTACAGGGTGGATGAGCTCCTCGGGGCCCCACAGCAAGGCGGGGGCCACTCATGCAGCGCCTGCCTTCACAGGCCCCCCAGCCACCTGCTGGGACACGTCCACCGCTGGTGGCTCCTCTGCACACGTGCAGACCACAGCAGAAGTGGTGACAGTGCACCAGGTCCCAGTGCGTGGCGGGATCCGCGAGCACAGGCGCTGTGCTCCGGCTGGGCCCGTGAGGACAGGGTTCCCTCTGGTGCCCTATCTGGGCTGTTTCAGACGAGGTGCTGTCAGCGCTCGGTGGTGAATCCCTTCGGCCACGGCTGAACAACTGGCCACGATAGTCTGTGGGGTTCCTGGGGGTCAGGAGTTGAACGCTGTGCTGTCCTTGGCTGCAGTGGCATCTGACCCAAAGATGGAACCCTGGTGGCCAGCACCCCAGCACCCCAGCACAGGTGGCCCCGGGAGCACGGGAGCCAGCCAAGTGTGAGCCCTGCACACACGTGTTGCTGTGAGGTCACCCAACGGCCTTGCAGACGTGGGGCCCGGGCGGGTGGAAGGAAAGTACTCAGTGCAAATGCAGGTCCAGGGGACACTGCAGGCCGCACAGCGAGGGAGAAGGGTTCGGGTCCGACCGGCCACAATGCAGACAGCAGCCTCTCATTTGTTCTTCAATTTTGTCATGTCAGGGCCTCACGGCACCTCGGGGCACCTGGCCCAGGTGTCCTCCAAGACCCCCAGCTGGGAGATGTCCAGATTTGGGAGCTGGGTGTAAAATGGAACCTCCCCAAGCCCCTTTCGGGGCCCCTGGCAGTGTGTCTGCTGTAGACTATGGGCTGAGATGACCTTGGACTGGGACAATGGACACCCCAATGTCTGAGGGTCACGTGGGCGGGATGACTAAGCAAGAACTGAGAGCCAGCACAGGCGGACGCATAGGCTGGAAAGGTGGCTGCCTCTGCCTGAGGCTGGGGTACGGGGCCATGAGCTGGTCATGGAAGCCACCCCCACCCTGCCTCCTGAGGGCTTCCTGCCTTTGGCTTTTCTGAACCCTGGGAATCTCTCTGCAAACTGAGGCCACATGTCCCCTCTTGGGTCCTGTGTGTTTGCCGGGTCTCTAGCCCACAGAATGTGGTGACGAGCTTCAAGCTAATGAGTCTCATCTTCTGGAGGGAGAAGACTAGGGACTTGCAGGTGGGGGTTCTTGTCCTTTGTCACCTGCTTGTCCCAAAGTCCTGAACTCAAAGTTCGTGCTCAGAAGGCCCAGCGGTGAGCTCCTGGGTTAGGTCCTTCCCAAAGGCCATGCGGAGGAACCCCCAGAGCTCGCTGCATCGCCCGGTTCTATGGGACTGTGTGGATTCCACAGAGTGGGGGCAGCCACTCAGAACCGGTCTTGACGCATCTCACCTACCCCTGGGCTCTGTGCTCTGCAGGGCGTCTGCCTGTCCTGACGACCCGAGCAAGGCAGTGCTGGCTTCAGGCTGAGCCACCGCTTGGCGGCCTCGCTTTGTCCTCCCAGAACACGTCTCAGAAGGGGCAGAGCTGGGACGCGCATGGGCACCGTGCCAGGACCAGGCTCATTCTGGGGTGCTGTGGGGCGGCAGGGCTCCTGCGGTCCCCATGCTGCCCGTCTTGGGGGGACTTCTCACCTCCTGGGCCACCCAGGCCTGGTGCTAGCTCCCAGCAAGTGGTCTGTGGCGGGTGGCGAGGTTTGGGGGCTGGGCATAAAATGGAACCTCCCAAGCCCCTGTGGGGCCCCTGGCAGTGTGTGCACCGTGACTGGTTGAGTGGACACCCCCCATGCCTGTGTGGTATGGAGGGACTGTGGCTGCAAGGCCGAGCTGTGGACCGAGTCCCCTTAGAGCAGCCCTGAGCCTAGGGCTCATGGTGGGGTCTGTGGGGACCCTCCCCACGCAGGGGCAGAGGCCAAGGCTGGAGGCGCGATTCCTGCTGCTCTTGCCTCCCGGGGCCGCAGTGGGTTTGTCCAGCAGCCCCCGCGGGTCGCAGGGCCTGGCTTGGGAGGGTCTCTGGGCGTGTCCTCCAGCCCCTTGCTGACCTTGAACTCCTGGTGCCCAGGTGCCCGGTTCCAGGCTGCGTGGGGCTCGGTCACATCAGCGGCAAGTACGCCTCTCACAGAAGCGCGTCAGGCTGCCCGCTGGCTGCCCGCAGGCAGAAGGAGGGCTCCCTCAACGGCTCCTCATTCTCCTGGAAGTCGCTGAAGAACGAGGGGCCCACCTGCCCCACTCCTGGCTGTGATGGCTCCGGCCATGCCAACGGGAGCTTCCTCACTCACCGAAGGTAGCGGTGCCCGCTGGCCCTGTCTGTGCGCCCCATGGGGCCCAGCTCTGGAGCTCTGGGCACGGCTCCCGGGGGCCCCAACAGGGGTTAGAGGTGACCGCCACCTTCTCAAGGGAAGACCGAGGCCAGGGCTGGCAGCTGACTGGGGAGGCAAGAGAAAGCCTGGTGGCACCTGGTCACGGTACTTGTGCTCGGTGCTCCCACATGTCCGTTCCCGGAAGCCTCCCTCCTCGGCCAGATGGACTCCCTTTGGCCACAGGCTGCCATCTTCTTAGGAAAAGCTTTGTCTGCCACACTCATGCTCTGCCCTCTCACTAGGGCCTCCTGTTTGAAGTTTGGGGTCAGGCCTCTGCTCATCTTACACAGGGGCCTGGTGACGAGACCCTCCTTGCCCTGGCAGTGGCCTGGGGTGCTCGCCGGCCCCCGGGCTAGGTGAACAGCACCCGCTGGTCCTCTTCCTCTCCATGCCAGTGACGCTGAGGTGCCCAGGTCACCCTGGTCCCGTCAGAAACCATCTTCTCTCTTGTTTTGCCCTCGTCTGTCCACTTATAAGGTTAATTAATCCCACAAGTCGTTCCTGGAGCCCAGAGAGTGCCGGGCTCTGGAGAGCCCAGAGGAGATGGTGTCTGGCCCTCTGGGTGTTGGTGGGCAGGGCGGGTGGGGAGCCAGGCTGCAGACACAAGCGAAACACCCAGTGTGCTCGGGGTGGTCAGTGGAAGGGGCACCGCGGCTGGTGAGCAGCCTCCCCAGGACATCTGGACATAAGTCTTTAGGGCACTGGCCAGGGTCCTGGGCCAGGAGCTGGGCTGTCCCCGGGGTGAGGGGGCAAAAGGACATGAGCTAGAAAGTCCATCTAGGACCCTACCAGGCTACCAGTGGTGAGCACTTGGCTGTCATTGGGATGTGTGACCTTGGACTGGTTTTTGATGTGTGACCTTTGCTTCCAGCTTGTCCGGCTGTCCTAGAGCGACCTTTGCTGGAAAGAAGGGAAAACTCTCAGGGGATGAGGTTCTTGGCACGAAGTTTAAGACAAGTGACGGTAAGGATGGCCCTCCCGCATCAGCTTTGGACCCTGTCCCCTGGACGGGTGAGCGGTATCTGTGGGGAAGGGTTAGGGATGCAGAACCTGCCGTGGTGGAGACAGACCCTTGAGCTGAGCCAGCGAGTCTCCTGACCTTGGCTCTAACCTCTGGGTGCCCATGTCTGGGCTCCCCACACTCCAGCTCTGATGGCATCAATGAGGCTGGCATCAGAGAAGCCTGTGGGTGGCTCTGGAGTTCCCGGCCTTGGGTTTGTGGCGCTGGGAGCTCCGTCTCAACGGAGAGGGACGCTGAGGAAAGCCAGTATCCTCGGAGAACACTTCCATGTTGATCTCGGCAATTAATACCTGGCAAAGAAAGGTGTCCTTTCCCACCTACGGCGCAGGGCCAGGCGGCCAACCACAGGTCCATGGCTAGTGGTCTCAGACTGACCTTCCCAGTATGAAATGTGGGGGTGAGCCCCCCACCACGGGGAGCTCAGGAAGCAGGTCCGCTGCCCCTGCTTGGAAAGGGGTCCCCGGTGCTGCCCAGGAGCAGGCCTCCGCACACCCCACTGGCTGTCCTGGCCACGAGGCCCGGAGCCACGACTGCTCTCCCCCTCTGGGCAGTGCTGGAGAATGACGAGGAGATCAAGCAGCTGAATCAGGAGATTCGAGACCTGAACGAGTCCAATTCAGAGATGGAGGCCGCCATGGTGCAGCTGCAGTCTCAGGTGGGTGCCCCGCCCCCAACTTAGTGACGTCCTGTCATCCTCGGTCCTTGACCTCCGCTTCTGTGAGTGGGGAGGAGCTGAGCCCACACCAAGGTCACTGTTGGGCTGAGCTGAGGAGTATAGTGCTCAGGGACACCTGACGTGCCCTGCCCATCAGGGTCCGTACTTCAACCAGCGTTAGTCCTCTGGTGCTGGGGGCTGGGGTCCCGCCAGGGTGTGTCACCCCTGCAGGGTGCATGTCAAGAGGAGCAGCACTGTGGTGCGGGTTTGCAGAGCCTGGTCAGAGCTGGTTCCACAGCCCCAGCGCGGCCACACGAGGCGAGTGACCTGGCAGCCTCAGTCCATGCGGACTTCCCGTCCTCGCCAGCGGAATGAATACAGCGGCATCAACTCCACGCTGCTGTAAGAGGAGCACATTTCCGCGAGAAAGCAGTTAGCATGAGGGGGACCTGGAAGAGAGTCACCGAGGACCTGGAGAGAGTGCGTCTCTGACGCTCGAACCGCTGAGCCGAACTGGTCAGGGCGTGCGTCTGTCTGACCCCACAGTGAACAACTGTGATCATGAAGCAGAAGAAAGGTCTTATTTTGAAAAGGAGACCACGCCTGCCCTTGGATGCTGACTGGGGGCCCAAGAAGACCAGGGGTCCCGAAGGTGGTGCCACACAGTCATGTCCCTAAGGCTGAAGGGACAAAGGGAGAAGGAGCGGACCAGGCCCCGTGGAACCTGAGGGCAGAGAGGGCGGATAGGACGATGGGCTCTTGTCTCGAGGCTGCCGCATGACACATTTTTGCCGACCACCTGTCACTCAGAGGCCTGTATGATGACAGTGTCGGCCGTGGAGATCGGGGAGGGTCTTCGTCCAGCAGCGGCTTCCCCGGGCTCACGGGCTGTCCCTGGGTGCCAACACGCATCTCTTCTGTGTCTGTCCCTCTCTGGTCCTGACCTTCTCAAAGACTCAGGCCTCTGGAGCCAGTACCCTGCAGGTGGTACCTCTGATTTATCTTAATTTGCCAATGCCTTCTTTTTTATTTATTTACATTTTTAAATCCTCACTCGAGGATATCTTTCCCCATTTATCTTCAGATAGAGCGGGAGAGAGAAAGAGAGAAAGAGAGAAACATCAATGTGAGAGAGACACAGTGATTGGTTGCCTCCCACACGATCCCGACAGGGACTGGGGACTGAATCGCAGCTGAGGTACGTGCCCCTGGCCGGAATCGAACCCGTGACTCTTTGGTCCGCAGGCCGCCGCTCTAACCACTGAGCACCGGCTAGGGCCAATGGTCCCTTTGTGAAGACAGCGTGTTTAGCAGCAGCCTTTAGGAAGGACTCCCTTTCCCTCGAGGGAGTTTTGGGCCATGTGCTCTATGGAGGACCAGTGAAGAGAAGCACCCCAGTTGTACTCTCATCTTCAAAGCCAGAGCTTGTCGCCAAGTGATGGGGCGTGATGCCCCTAGCACTGGTCCCAGAGCCATCTGGGGAGGAAAGCTCTCTACCTGATCCAGTCTTCCAGGCAGCTCCCTGCTCCACGCTGGGGACAGCTCAGGTGTCACCGGCCCTGGGAACTTGCCTCTGCTCGGGCTCCTTCGAGATGCAGTCAGGCTGGGGCCGCCCCCCAGGCCTGTCGTCTCCAGGGAGGGCTTCCCACCTTCCCCACATGGGCTGTGCACCTTTGCACGGGGTCCTGCTGGGACTCACCTGGTGGCCTGAGCACCACCCATGGCCATCAGCCCGGTCCTCACTGTCCTCTGGGATTGCACTGCAGAACCCTGAGAGCTCCCTTGGAAAAACTTTGGGGCTTCTGACTGGGGGTCCCCTCTGGTGGCCTGTTGGAAACTGTCAGGGTTCCCGGAGGAGCCCTCGGCCACTCCACTCAGGCTGCCGTGGGACAGGCGGCCGTCTGCTCTTCTGGCCCCCAGAGCTGTGTCAGACACCTTAGTCTTTGTGGTGGGGAAACCCAAAGGCAGCCAGACCCCCACTGGGTGCAGAATTCCCACCACAGACAGGAGTATCTAGTGAGCACTGCCCAGGACTTGAGCTCAGGCGCCTCAGACTCTGCGCTCCGCCCCACCCCTGTAGGAAGATGTAGCACAGAAAGCCAGGGCCCCATACGACCCTGGCTCAGTCACCATGTCCCCTCTTCCATCCGGGGACCAGGGCACTGCTAGCCCCTTGCTGTGGCAGGACCCCCGGGGGCAGGGTCCCTGCCTCTTCACTCCTCCTGGGAGCTGTGAGGTGGTCCCAGGGGGACGTGAGGGACACGGGCTCTCCTGTCTGTCGGTGCAGATCTCGTCCATGGAGAAGAGCCTGCAGACCATCGAGCAGGAGAACAAGCTCATTGAGGAGCAGAACGAAGCCCTGTTCCTGGAGCTGTCGGGCCTGAGCCAGGCCCTCATCCAAAGTCTCGCCAACATCCGCCTTCCACACATGGTGAGCAGTGCCCGGGATGTGGGGCGGGCAGTGAGGAAGCCCCTCTGCCCCTGGGGTGCTGCCTGGGCAGGCTGCTGCCCCACGGCTCCAGCCTTCTGGTGCTGCTCACAGTGAACCCCCAGACCCTCAGTGTTGACTGAGCCTGAGGTGGAGCAGTCAGTGCGGGGGGTGTGGCCTTGCCCTGTCCACTCCCCTGGGTGGAAGCACGAGGGGCCTGCGACGCAGACAGGGCTAGATGGGTTTCATCCTCCAGGAGCCGATCTGTGAACAGAACTTTGACGCCTACGTCAGCACCCTCACCGACATGTACTCCAACCAGGAGTGCTACCAGAACCCCGAGAACAAGGACCTCCTGGAGAGCATCAAGCAGGCCGTGAGGGGCATCCAGGTCTAGGCCCTGCCTGCGGATGGGGCGCCAGGGACCCCAGCTGGGCTCTGTTGTTTACCTCCCTTGCCCTGTCTGCCGGGGAGATTCCTGAGTCGCAGTGACTTCTAGGTGGCAGCCCAGGCGGCCTCCAGAGGGTTGGTCCCAAGGTGCCTGGAAATCAGTCTCCCTCAATGCGCTTGTCAGGGTGGAGGCCTCAACCCCCCGAGCAAGGGCAGAGCATGAAGTATTACAAATTGATTTATTTTTGCTTTCTGAAAGTAGTCTGAAGAGCAGCTCGAGTCTCCAGTGGTTCTCAGGGAAGTTTTGGAGTTTGCAGCCAGAGTGTTCCTGTGTCTGTGCGCTGGGAGGGTGTCAGCCCGGATCACACGCCCGGGCGCGGCTGCTCAGTGAGGCCCGTGTGGCAAGTGTGTTTTCTGTTTTCAGTTCATTCTGTTTTGTGTTAAAAACCGAAGAAAGTACTGCTCCGGAGGGTAAGTTAGGAATAGCCTGCAGCTCACCGTCGGCTCAAGGAGTCCAACCTGGGCGTCCCTGAGCGGCTGGCTCCCCAACGCTGCGGACTGGAGCGGCCTGGGGTCAGGCTCCCTCCTGGGGCTGCCTCTTCTAGACCCACGTCTGACTCAGGGCCAGGGCCCCTGACTCTGTGAGCCAGGCTGGGGACCCCTCACTGCTGTGGCACCTGGGTCACGGCTGAGCTCGCCTGGGGTGGAGATAGCGCCAGCAAGGTCAGGGGTTAACCCTAATCGGGGACCACCAAGGTTTCACCTCCTTTTAGATCCATTCAAGATGCGGGAAAAAAAGGTAAATTTTAATTTAATGTGTTAAAAACACAATGTTCCTACATGTAAATAGAGTCCAAATTGATTGTGACTGCAATTCCAAGTTAGTATTTAAAAGTAGAGAAATTACTCTTTCAGGAAGAAATAAAAAAAGTAGTTAGTTTAATTATTCTGTAAATTATTTAATTTTGTCAAGATGTAAGTATTTATATTCACAGCTTCTTTTATGTTAACGTTTACTATTTATTTGACGTTTTATTTATTAATTTTATACTGTTTCAACCAGCCCCACACGCCAGGACATCACGAGAGAGAAATGAAATCCAAGCAAAACGACCATTTGACTACGAGATAGGACACACACAAAAAAGTTGCTATAACTTTGTTATAATTTTGATGCAACCAATTTATTTTTTATATATTTTGTTATTTATTCTTTTAATAATGGAATTTTTAGAAAAGTATTTTGTAACCGAGGAACTTTGATAACTTGGGGATGTTCTCCCCTTGGTCCAGTGGAGAGAAGGCTTGGTTTTCTTTGTCCCTCTCGGTTCCTTTTGTTTTAGGCCTGACGGCAGCAGGTGGAGCTCTGTATTCATTGTTCATTTGCGTGTAGAGCAGCCGTGTGTCGTGTCGCGTCTGTGCGGGTCGTGATGGCTGAGTCCTGTCGCGGGGGAGCCGGCCGCCAGCGCCGGGCAGTCCGCCGGCTCCGCTCCCGCAGCTCCGATACTGTGACCCTCCTTCCTCAGGAAACGCGCGCCCGCCCACAGCCCCGCCCGGTGTGTTCGCAGGGTGATTTCCTAATAAAAGTCCACTCTGACTGTGCGCGAGCCTGTGTTGTGAGGGGCTCAGAGCTGCCCCCGGGGGGTGGGGGTGGGGGTGGGGCGTGGACGCTTTCATCTCGGGCCTCTTCCTGCTGCCACACATGGAGCCCGCGTCCCCCGTGAGGTGTGGCTCTGGAATCCAGACCCTCTAAGGCACCCGTCCCGCCCACACGCACGCATGTGCACACCAGTGCTTTCTCGTGGGGTCAGGGAGAAGAAGTCCTGCTGAGGTTAATCGGGGTTGGGTGGGATGGGTGTTGCCCGAGGCCATTTCCCCTTGCCGCAAGGAGAAAGCCTGCAGCAGGAGACAGTTTAGACCTTTTTGAGGGGGCAAAGCTGAGAAATGGAGAGCAAGGTGAAGGTGGGAAGGGAAAGAGAGATCTCTAATGACCTGTTCAGAGCTCCTGGATCCAGCCGTACCTGAAAGCTATCTAGCCTTGCAATTCCAAGTTACACGAGGCAACAGGGCAACAGATTCCTTGTTTGTTTTGGCTTAAATTCTCGGCCTTGCAGGAGCACCTGCCTCACTATTTCACTTTGTGGTAGGTGGAGCTCTGGCTCCCCCAGGGTTAGACTGAGGTTAGGGGCTTCTTGTCTCATCCTACCTGTTAGCACACTTCCACCTGGGAATCTGGGCCTGCAGGCCAACCTGGAACTCTCATCTAACATGTGAACAAAGGAAATGTTCTAGAAATTCTGGGTCTCGTTTTCAACCCCCTTTCAACTCCTGCCGAGGCAGACAGGGTCCAGGATACATTTGGTGCGTCTGGACGGCTCCCACTGTTGGCAGCGGGGACTAGAGAAGGATGCTTCACAAGCAAGGAGAGGTGCAGAGCCTGTGCGGGAGGTTTGAGGGAGGACTCCTGAGGGTCCCCTTTGCTGAAGCCCCACTGGGGATGGGGACCAGTGGCCTGGGCTGTACCTGTTCACATCCCACAGATGCTTTGATGTGGGCCAGACTGATTCTGAAGTGTCTCCTCTGCAGGCTGAGGTGACTGCATTCTGGCAGGCCTGAGAGTTGGCAGGGGGCAGGGAGTGGAGGTGCAGGGTTGCCCCAGTCTGGAAGAGCTGGACAGATAGATGCCATTCCCTCCCATGATGCTCCGACCATCCCCAGGAGGCTGCTCTGCCTGGAGACCACGAGGACTCTGTGAGGTGGAGGCGATTCCCTGGAGCTCCTCTGGCCACCTGTTGGTGCAGCTGAGCAGGTGCCCTGTGGTCAGGCCAGGGTCAGGGGCGGGCCCAGGACCCAGGAGACAGGCTGCCAGGTGGGAAGATTGGTCAGAGCCACAGACCTGCAGCATGTGTTGCTTGGGGCCTCCATGAGAGAGGTCCTAGCGTTCGGCTTCCTCCTGGGCTGCCTAGAACAGGGCACGTGGGTGGGAGCATCGGCATGTCCTGAGTTGGGAGCCTATGGATATGTAGGTGGAACTGGGGATGAGGATGTCTCTGCTGAAGGCCCCCAGGTGTAGGTGCTGTGGGAACATGGGGGGGGGGGGGCAGGTGTGGGTGGTTCAGGGTGTCACACAGCACCCTCCTCACGAGAGACAAGCCATTGTGGAGGTTCATCCACAGAACCTGGCTCACACCCCAGGGCTGACAGCAGTGTGCCAAGAGCCCACTCTGCCCCTCCTGACTTGGCCTTCATACCATCTGCCCTCCCTGGGCTTGGTTTCTCTGACAGGGTCTCCACTTGCTCTCCTCAGCTGGGCTGGGCTGCCTGATATCCTCCCATCTGCCCTGCACAGCAGGAACCCGACTGCAGAGTGCTGAGGACCCGGGCTTCCTGGGAGGGACTGATGCTGCTGCTCGGCGGGTGGAGCCCTGGGCCAGGACTGGCCACCTTTAAGCACCGTGCAGGTGTCTACACCCTGCACAGAACCCAGCCAGCTGAAGTGGAGGGCAGAGCTGGTGTGGTCTTAGGGGAAGCCCAGCACCACGGAGTAGTCCAGAGGGACCATTCCCAGAGGGCCTCTAGCTCCCCCTCATCAGCCAAATACAGAGGCTTGGAGACTCCGTGGTGGCGGCGAAGGAAGTGTGTCTGCACAGGGCAGCTGCCAGGTGTGAGGGATGGCACATGGGCCCTCATGGGGCTCCTGGCTTCTGATGCAGAGGCACAGGTGACAGCTCTGGGGTCTGCATCTGGGCCTCATACATGAGAAACTTCAGCAGGTCACTTTCAGCCTGTGCCTCGGTTTTCTTCTCTGTAAAGGGGTCCACAGTATGTGCTGCTGGAGGAGAGGAAGCCCAGGTCACACACCACCCTGAAGACACCCTCGAACCCACCTCCCCTTCCCATCTGTGCCAGCTGCCACCCCTGGCTCTGAGATCTGCCCCTGGCAGGTGGCCAGGTACCTGATGTCTGACACAGCTGCCACCCAGGGCCCTCCTATATGCACCCACAAGTCTAGCTGCCACCCACCTGGTGCCCTTAGGGTGCACACATCTGTTACTACCACCTCCCCGAGTGACGTCTTGGCTGCCAACAGCTGCTCAGGTTCACTCCTCCCCAACTGGCCGCACCTCACGGCGGCTGTCAGGCACTCCCACTCCCACCTGGAGCTTCTCGCCAGGTCTTTGGATAGTGAGGGGTGGCTGGGAGGCTGGTGGGGGGATGGAACCCTTAACCTTGGGACCTATATCCTAAGAAATGTGGCGTCCTGTGGACAGACCTCTGGCCCCAGGCCTGACACCACTTCTGTCAGGACCCTAAATTAGTCAAACTTCTCCAGAGAAACAGAACCAATAAATCAAGTTGATAGATGATAGATTTATTTCAACCAATTGGCCCATGCGATTTTGGGGGCCAAGTCTGTACTCTGGGGGCTGGCCAGCAGCTGGAGCCCCGGGAACAGGCGATGCTGAGCCCTTGCCCCGCGTGGCTGTCTGGAGGCCAAACAATTTCTTCCCTGGGGAGCCACAGCTCTGCTTGTTGGGCCTGAACTGCTAGCAGGGGGCCCCCCACATTACAGAGGAGAATTTGTTTTACTCAAAGTTTACTGATTTAAATGTTAATCACATAAAAACAACAGAAATGTGCTTATGGCAACATCTGGATGGATGTTTGACCAAGCGTCTGGGCAACGTGGCCAAGTGTACACATGAACGGACCACCTTCGACCCCTCCCCGGTGCTGTGCATCACGACGTTTTTATTCAATTACTTTTCTGCTAACCCTCACCCAAGGATATTTTTTTCATAGATTTTTTTGGATGGAGTGGAAGGGAGGGGGAGAGAAAGAGAAAGAGAAAAGAAAACATCGATGTGAGAGCAATACGTCAATTGGTGGCCTCCTTCCTGGACTCAAACCTGCAACCCAGGCAGGTGCCTTGACCAGGAATTGAACCTGGGACCCTTTAGTCTGTGGGATAATGCTCTAACCGCTGAGCCCCCCGGCCAAGGCCATTGCTAACTGTTATGGTGGTTTGTTTTAAGATGAGAAATTCCTTTTCCTTTTATTTTATGAATCATTTCACATGTACAAATAGGAATATTAGAGATCACCGGCATGTGTGACATCAACCCCCTTCGCTGATGCAGTGCACACAGCAGAGAAGGCTCGACAGGGTGTGAAAGCCGTGGTAACTCCAGTCAGGCCACGAATACCTGCAAGAGGAAGACATGTTTTTTCCCTTTTCAGAGAACCTGCTTTGGATGTTCTTATCCCAGCAGCTGGGCTGCGGTGATGCCTTGTGGTGAATATCGAATCTTGTTAGCACCATGGTCCCCAACTGCTGGGGTGTGGACCCTCCTGGCTCACTTCACACACCCACACTAGTCAGAGAAGGTTCAGGTTTAAGGCCATCCATCCGGGATGCCCCCATCCCGTCCCGTCTCCCCAGCCAAATGGTGTTTCATGCTTCCAAGGGCAAGAATCTCACTCAGAGGCCCAGGACACTGACAGCGGGCACGAGACCTTCCTCCTTCACTGGAGATGTCAGGAGGCCGGGCAAGGACAGGGCTGTCACCCAGCCCTACTTCCTCTGCAAAGGGCAGCGCCTCCTGGCTGACATGGGAGGAACCCCCATCACCCAGCAGGGCTTGTCTTCCTCCACTCCGCCAGCCAGAGGGCTCCCCCTCTGCAGCCCCGATTCAGTTTCCTGATCACTGAGGTTTAGAAACAAAAGTCCTCCTTAAAGATGGGATGCCATGTGTAAGACTCTCGGCTGACAGAACACATAGTTACCCTGACTGCCAAGGCAGTCCTCGTCCGTAGTGAAAACTGCCAGACAGCACTGTGGTGAATAAAACAAGCAGGTGTCCTCAGCCAGGACTGAAGCATGCTCAGGAAAGATGCATATTCCCCAAGCGGCTATCATTTCCAGTGCTCTTCCTACTTTTGTATAGATTTGTATTTCCATCGGGTATCATTTGCTGTCTGCCTGGGAAACTCCCTTTATCATGCTGTGTTGCGTGAGTCCGCTTCTTCTTCTAGCTTTTATTTTTGATCATTAAAAAATTAATAGTCTGGCCCTGGCCGGTTTGGCTCAGCGGTTAGAGCGTCAGTCTGCGGTCCCAAGAGACCCGGGTTTGGTTCCCACTAAGGGCATGTACCTCAGTTGCAGTTCGTCCCCAGCCCTGGTTGGGTCATGCGGGTGGCAGCCACTTGATGTGTCCCTTTCACGTCAATGTTTTTTTCTCTCTCTCTTCCTCCCACTCTATCTGAAAAAAAAAAAAAAAAAGGAAAACTGTCCTCAGGTGTGGATAAAAAAAAATTTAATAGTCTGTATTTTTAGAGCTATTTTAGGGTTATAGAAAAATTGCAGAGATAGCATAGTCCTATTATTAGTGTGTTACATTGTTATAATTAATGTACCAAGATGGATCCATTATTTACCAAAGTCGAGTTTTTTTTCCTGGATCACGTGTTTGGTGTTGTAAAATATCATCACCATGCTCAAGGTCAGCTACATGTTCTTCTATGCTATGTTCTAGAACTTTTGTGTGAATATTGTTAAGTTTGTGTCTGGACTCGTTATTTTGCATGTGGATGTCCAGCTGTCCATGTACCAACTGTTGAAGAGACTGTCCTTCTACCATGTTACCTTTGCTCCTTGGTCAAAGGTCAGTGGTCACATTTCTGAGGGTCTATTTCTTGGCTCCCTGCTCTGTCCCATTGATCTACTCATCTTTTCTTTCACCAGCACCACACAGTCTTGATTCCATGATTTCTCAGTAAGTCTTGATGTTGGGTCATGTCAGTCCTTCAAATGTGTTCGTCTTCAATGTTTCTATTTTATGTTTTTGTCTCTCCGTATTACTTTAGAATTTTTTTTTTTTATATCTATAACATAACTTGCTAGGATTGTGACTGGACTGCATTGAATCCACAGATCAAGTTTGGAGGAGTTGACATTTTCACTACATCGAATCTTCCTATTTGTGGACATTAACCAGCTGTCTCCTTATTTAGATCTTTGATTGCTTTCATCAGAATTTTGTAGTTTTTCTGATATAGATCTTGTGCTTTGTTAGATTTATGCCTAAGTATTTCTCTCTCTCTTTTTGGTGCTAATGTAAATGGTATTGTGTTTTAATTTCAAACTCCAATAGTTAATTTCTGGCTTAGTCCCACACCACATAGTTGTGTTCTGGACAGTGATGGACCGTGTGGACAACGTGGTCCCACAAGACTGTAATGGAGCTGGAAAACCCAGCCGCATTGTGTTGTAGCCCGTGCCTTCAAAAATGTGCCACGGTAAGGCAGGTGTGAACACTGGCCACACTGCAGTGGAGACGGCCGACTCAGGCCTGGGTGTGGATGAGAGAGGCCCCGAGGAGCTCCTGGAGGTGCTCCGAGGAACCGAGTACTGAGGGTGCTGGAACTGGATCAGCGACACAGAGGAAAGGAAACTGCAGGAGAAGAGAGAACCCCCAAGAAACCCAGTGAAGGGTTTAGCAAACTTTTGCAAACTTCCACAAGCTCCTTAGAACGTTTGAAAACATGAAGCCCAACACTGAAATGTTTTCCATGGCAGAGAGGAACACTCACAGTGCACAGCCTGCTTACCAGCAAAGCCATGATGGAAAAACCCAGCCAACCCCGACCCCCGTGACAGTGTTTACAGAAAGAGTGACACCCCCCGGAGAAGAACTACAGGCAGGGCTGCGGGAGCTGTTCCCGGAGAAGACACTGTCATCCCAGGAGAGGGCAGCTTCTGTGTGCTGCCTCTGAAGACCTTCAGGTGGGACAGGGTGTGAGGGGGTGGTCAATGATCCTGATGATCCCACTCTGTCTAGGCCTGTGCTAAAGTGTGTTTGTGTCTTAGTTTTCAACAAAAAATAGTTTAAAATCCAGAAATAAATATATTAAAATTTTAAAATTAGAAAATAGAACCAGAATATAAAGAAAATATTTTTGTACAGCTATACAATGTATTTGTGTTTTAAGCTAAGTGTTATTTTAAAAAAGTCAAACAGTTTTAAAAAATTAAAAAGTGTATGAAGCCAAAATGTTAAAGTAAGCTAAGGTTACTTTATTGTGTACGTGAGAAATTTAAAAAATACACTGAGTGTAGCCTAAGTGTACAGTATTTACAAAGTGTCCAGTCATGTCCTGGCCTTCACGTCACTCCTCACTCACCCCGACGCACCCAAAGCCGTTTCCGGTCTGAGAACTCCATTCACGTAAGTGCCCTATACAGGTGTGTACCCTTTGTTGTCTTTTATGCCACGTTACTGCGTGTCTTTTATGTTTAGGTCCACAAATATTTACCGCTGTGTTACAATTGCCTATAGTATTCGTTACAGTAACATGCCGTACAGGTTTTAATGTCTGTCTACTAATCCTAAAATCTTCGTAAGCTCTGGGTCACTTTCAATGGATTGACTTTTTTCCTCATCATGAGTCAATTTTCCTCCTTATTTGTATGCCTGACAATTTTAGATTGGATGCCAGACAGTATGAATTTTACCTTGCTGAGTGCTAAAATTTTGTATTCTTATAGTAAATATTCTAGAGCTTTGTTCTAGGACACAGCTACTAGGAACAGCTTGATTCTTCCAAATGTCTTTGATTTGTTAGCTGGGGTCAGAGGCTAGTTGTTCCTCACTGCCGAGGTGTGGCCCCCGTGTATGCTGTCCAATGTCCCATGGACCACCAAGTTTCCAGTCTGGCTGGTGGGGACAGGCACTACTTGGTGTGACAGTGGCCAGTGTTACCTCTTATAATGTTTTCTGAGTCCTTTCTCTGCCCAGGGCTGTTTCCCCCCACATAGGAGCTGATTAGTTTTCTATTGGATCCTTGTGGGAACTCGTATATCTCTGAGACCTTCCTTGTGACCAGTCTGCTTTGGGACTGCTCGGTGCCTTGGTCTCCCTGCATTCTCAGTTCTAGTTCCTCAACTCAGGGAGTCTCCAGGCCCTGCTGGGGTTCCCCTCTGCATTGCAGGCTGGAAACTGTGAGAGCAGTAGGAATAGGCCATAGAACAGTCTCGGCCCCTGGTTTCTCCTCTCTCAGGAGTCATAGTATCCAGTGTCCTAAGAACTGTTGCTTCATATATTGTATTCATTTCTTGGTTGTTTTGGGCATGAGAACAAGTCCAGCTCCTGTCGGTCCATCGTGGTCAGAGTTTTAGTTGCATTAAAAAAAAAAAAATTCTGGAGATGATGGTGGTGACGGTCACACCACAATGTAAATGTGCTCAATGCCACTGAACTGCGACCTAACTGATGGTTCAAGTGGTATATTTCATGTCATCAATACATTTCCACAATGTAAAGAAGAACTAAAAGAGGGGGTTACCTGAATCAAAGGAAGCCTTAGTACTGTATTTGGAAGACAACATAACCTAGCATGATCACGATGTCCAGCAAGGGTATCTCAACAACTCGCACAAGTGAGGGCTTAGCAGGTAGTCTGGGCAGGGTGCCAGGCCAGCAAAGCTTAGATTGGGCGGCTTCACCGGGGCAACCCTGACTCACCCCGAGACCAACGAGGTGCAAGTTCTGTGGGGCGCACACGTGCTCCTACCCGTCTGTGGGCTGTGGCGTCCCAGCACAGTGTCGGGCACAGGGCTCACCCAGAACGTTGTCGCGTAGGCAGCTTCCTGCTCCTTCCTTCTGAGTAGCTCTGGAGGTCACACCCGCATATTACGCTTTCTCATAATTACTCAAAAAAGTGATTTGTCCTACAGGACCCAAAGACATTTTACCAGTAGACCCTCTTGCCCAAACTCCACCTTTCCCCACGTGAACATGGGCGGACTTCACGTCAGACAGCGGTCCCGCAGCAGCTCTCACGCCCCGAGTGGGTGGGGAAGGCCGCAGCAGAAGGCCATGGTTAGAAGGCCCGGGCCTCCTCTCCCCACCCCTGAGACACGCCTGTCCTTCCTCTGCCTGGTGTCCTGGGCTGCAACCTCCCCCCAACCCTTTTTGTTTGCGGTCAGCACCCAGAAATCCAAACGTGGCGACCCTGACGCGCACTCATTCAGATGGCACTGCCGGTACCCGGTGTCAGCTGAGATGTCTTCAGTTGTCCCCTGTGGACAGAGCAGCTCCACGACACCGAAACGTGCTGGGTCACAGCTGACCCGGCTGGAGAGCTCGGACGGGCCGGGGAAGAGGGGCCTCTCTACCCCACGCGGGGGACACGGGCGTGGGCGGCAGCCGGCGGGCTCCCTCCGGCCCTGCACGTCCCTTCCGCGCCGCCAAAGCACAGCCGCCGCCGCCAGAGGCCTCACCTGTCGGCCGTGCCGTCCTGCTCACGGTGGGGCCCCGAAGCGATCATCCTCCCCGCACCTCGCTCCAGCCCAACTGCCCTTTGAACTCCGCCACCCCGCAGGGCGCAAGGCCGGCTCTGATTCCCTGGTCACTGATCCGCGCCTCGCGGGCGGGGCGTGGCCAGCGGCGGGGCGGGGCGGGGCGGGGGCGTGGCCAGCGGCGGGGCGGGGGCGTGGCCCATCCGCGGCGCCGTTGCCCTGCTGGAGCCCGGCCGGGGCGCACGCGCAGTCGTGCCGTTGCCCACGCAGGCGCAGTGGAGCGGCGGATGTTTACGGCGGCGGAGGTCGGCGCGCCGCAGACAGGCCGCGGACGGGCGAGCGGCGCCCGAGAAGCTCAGGTCGCGGGCCGGGCGAGCGCGGAGGTAGAGAGGCCGCCGCTGCCGCCGCCGCCCTGGGCCCTTCCCTGCCGACCGCCGGTCCCCCTCCCCAGTCCGAGCGCCTGGGCCGGCCCCGGGGTCTTCCCGCCCCCGCGTCCCCCTCCCCCCGCCCCCCGAGCCCTCCCCGCCGCGGTCGCGGCCGGCCCCTGAGCGCCCGGCGGGAGGCGCTCACAGTGAGCTGTCAGGCAAGTCCGGGGTCTCCGCGGCGCAGACAGGCCGCCCGGGGCCTCGGCCGGCACGCGGCGGGCGGCGCGCGAGCACAGCGTGGTGGCCGGTGCTGCCGCTCGGACCCCGGAACCGTCGCCGGTCTTGTCGCCCAGGGCAGCCGCTGCAAGCCGGGTCCCGGCGTCCGTCTGTCCTTCGGGGTTGGTGACGCCCGGCCCCGCGAACAGCTGCCGGGGAGCCGCACGCCCGGGGGCAGGGCCCGGGGGGGCGGGGGGGGCTCGGCCGCGTCCCGGCCGTGGGTCCGCCTTCCTCGGGTCCGGGGCGCGCACCGCGCGGCGGTGAGTGGGGAAACCGCGGGTGTCTGGTGGGAGCTCTGTTTCCAGGAAGACAGTCCGTTCCTCCCGTCCGTCCTCCAGCTCCTCTGCACCCGAATCCCTCGGGCCGCGTGTCCCTTAGCAGGGACGCTGCGTCGGACACGGCCCTCCGTGGGCAGTCCGCCGAGCCCCGAGGCGGATCGGGACCCCCGTGCAGGTTCGGGGAGTCCGACCCCCAGATAAGGCTGCGCCTGTGCACGGCACGTTGGGTTCAAAGTGCTGTCAAAGTGCGACGTCGGGAAAGCGATTTGGTCCCTTCGACCAGTCGGAGCTGCATGGACGGTGGATCAGACGAGCTCAGGCTGGTGTCAGAGGCTTGATGATGGTCACGTCCGGGTCAGCAGGACGCACTGGTTGTCTCCAGTGCGAGGGCAGTGTGAGATGCTGGCCAAGCAATACATATTCAGGCCCTGCAGATGGCCCCATGTACCCCACTGGTGGCAGGGGCAGAGTCACCCCGTAGTCATTCTGTCACTTTGAACAAAGATGACCGACGTGTTGTGTGTCTAGAAATGCTGTGTCCTTGAGAGTTGCTCTGCATTTGTTGGGATAAGGAACCTGGGCTTCCGACCAGTCAGACTTTGATGGAAGTCCAGGCCTCTCCCCACACACTGGCGTGGTTGTCCAAGTGCTGAGCCCCGGTTTGCCCTGTGATAATTGCGCAGCCAAAGTGAGGTTGTGACGGGCTGGTGGTAGCCCTACTTATTGGAAAACTAGCCTTTGCCTGTGGAATACATTTTCAAGATGAGGCAAACGTGGAGATGAGTGATAGTACTTAGTACAAAATAAAACCTACTTGAGTCTGGCTGGTGTGGCTCAGTGGTTGAGCATCCACTCATGCACCAAGAGATTGCGGGTTCGATTCCTGGTCAGGACACATGCCCAGGTTGTGGCCCCATGCCTAGTGCAGGAAGCGGCCAATCGATGTTCTCTTTCATCGATGTTTCTATCTCTCTCTTCCCCTCCCTTTCTCTCAAATCAATAAAGGAAAAAAAAAAATTAAAACCCCACCCTATCTGATATATAGTCTGTGTTTGCCTTGTGGGATGGAATGATGGTGTAGACATAGAGCGGTTCATCATCATGTGTAGGCTCAGACCCACGGTGGGGGTAGGGTGGGGCTTGTGGTTCCAGGCTTTTCCCAAACAGACCCTGAAGCAGCCACAAACAGTTCTACTTTTAACCAGTGACCCAAATTTTACGATAACTGCCCTAGACTAGGGGTGTAGACTTTAGCCTCAAAACTAAGTGGCTTATCCAAGATTAAATTTGACCTCATTTGCACTGTATCCCATCCGGCTAAACTGGACCAGAACCTAACAAGGACTCTGAAACAAAGTGGGGGTGGAGATGTAATCATTGGACTGCCCTAGTGATGAGTAAAGTCTAAAATGAATTGTCCCGACTGAAACAAAAGAGCGTTTGTATCCAACCCCAGGTCTCACTAGTAAGAAGCTGGAGAGTCATTTTGTTTCCTGGGTAAACTTCTCCCACCACAACTAACAGTCGTGAGTGTGGTGTGTGCATGGATGGAGTCTCTATGCCCATTGTTTCTTTAGGATTCTCCTAAATCTGTAGGAGTGAGGGCAAAGCAAGTATAAACTTTGTAATAACAAAGTTATAATATGATGTTATTAGAGTTGGTCTGATTCAGAAAATGTGTCAGTCTTGTGAGGCCAGATGTCCTCCCCCTACAACCAATGAGATGTTTGGTAAAATGGTACCATTGTATATGAACAACCACCATTATTTTGAAAAGTTACATGAGTAAGTATAACACTTGAAGAGATACATTTATAGTGTTTGGAAGAGTAAGACCATTTTCCCTGTGATTTAGGTGAAGGTACATTGCATGTTAACTAGTTGGGTCAGAGAACACATGCCGTGATCTGTACTCTTGAAGGCAGGTGGGTAGAAGGTGAGATGTGTGTGTGTAGTTACAGAGCTAGAAAGGCTGTGTAGCTAAGACTTGAAAGGGGGTGTAGGGGTTGGAGTAGCAGCTCCGTCCACCCATAAACTGTAGTCTTGAAACAGATTTTGTGTTTGTTACAATAACGTGTTTGTCACAAGATGTTCTTCTGGTAAGAGAGTTTTGTGGATTCTGTTTTCGCCTGAATTGTGTACATCAGAATATCCAAATGAGCGGATCGTGTTGACTTGGCATGTATGAGGATGAGGGGTACAGAGTTGCCAGATGAAATATAGGACACCATGTACAGTTGAATTTCAGATAAACAATGAATAAGTTTTAGTATTGTTTACCTGAATTTCATTTTTTTTTCCTGTTAAAGATTTACAAGATCTGCAGCACTTGAAATATTCGAAGAGCAGGGGATGTTAGAAGGGGCCCTCAGATTGTCTGCTCTCCTGCTGTTTCCCGTCAGTGATTTGGCTGCAGGTGGCTGTATCCCTGTTAAGGCAGATCTATATTCAAGGCACATTTAATTCTAAACTCTTGACTTTGTAGATTGTTGACGAAAGTAAGGTATGGAATTCACAGTTCAGTGATGTTTTAAAGTTGTGAAATATGGTTCAGGCACCTCAAGTTCATTTAAATTCAGTAGATACTATAAATTACAGACTTACTTCTGGATGGATGTCGAGTTTATTTCCTTCAGAATCTGGCATCCTTGCAGGTGGGGTGGGGGGTATTGACAATATATTCAATGTGTATATTATTTTCAAAATTTGAAATTGGTATGTGTTCAGGACTTTTGCTGTTCTGCTCTCACCTTTCATGTAAATGGCTCTTTTAAAAAATGTCCAAATGCAGTATTGCCCGAGTGTGAGCCTGAAAATGGGAGGTGCTGTGAGTGCGGGTGAGGACAACGACGAGCTGATCGACAACTTGAAGGAAGCTCAGTACATCCGGACAGAACAGGTGGAGCAGGCTTTCCGAGCTATCGACCGTGCAGATTATTATCTAGAAGAATTTAAAGAAAATGCGTATAAAGACTTGGCCTGGAAGCACGGAAACATCCACTTGTCGGCCCCGTGCATCTACTCGGAGGTGATGGAAGCCCTGGACCTGCAGCCGGGGCTCTCCTTCCTGAACCTGGGCAGTGGCACTGGCTACCTCAGCTCCATGGTGGGGCTTATTCTAGGTAATCTGGACACTCTGGAAAGGCTGCTGGCAGTGCCCTTCAAAGGGACCTGTCTAACTGCCCTTGACCGTCCCAGCATTATCTGGTATCATTCACCAATGGTCACTGGGTCAGCCGGTGAAGGGAGGGCCCTCGGGCACCCGTCACATTCTCTGTCCTCCTCCACCTGAACCTCCAGCAGGTGTTCAGGACACCCTCCTCCTGGACAGCGGAGCACCCAGACAGGGGTGTCAATCTGGACCTCACTGGAATTTCTTTTTACATTTTTTTTTTTTTTTTTTTTACCTTTCTTGACTTTTTAGAGATAGAGGAACGGAGAGGGAGAGAGAGAGAAACATTGATGAGAGAGAACATTGATTGGTCACCTCCTGCATGCCCCCCAACTGGGGATTGGGCCCACAACCTGGTCATGTGCCCTGACTGGGAATTGAACCGGCGACCTCTTGGTGCAGGGTCGCACTTAGCCGCTGAGCCACATTGGCTGAGCCTACCTGATTTCTTGACTAATAAGTCACTCTGCCTGCCCTCTCTGAACTGAGAGTAATTAACTTTAAAGTCCCCTGGGATCTAGAGTTCTCTCAAACACTTTTTGTTTGTCTTGTGATTTGAATACTGGAAGAATTACTACTGTAAGGTTATTTTTATATAAATTCCATGATGAGAAGGATTTCACAAGTTAACTTATTTGAAGCCACCTAGCAACAGTCTCAGACAACTGAGGACTCATTTAATTCCTACCATGTGTGAACTGTGATGGTGGGGAAGGTGTGAACAACTTTCATGGTCAAAAGCATTTCTGGAAAAAAAAATTTTTTTTCAATTGAGGCAGAAACAGGGCTAGGTCCTGGGCATCCCGGCTGGTCACCGGGCAGCCTTGCAGTATGGAGAAGGCAAACCTGTCCCATCCTGTGCCTGACCGGGACCTTTTTATTACAGTGAGTATGGAGGAGAAAAATGTAAATGGTGAAAACATTCACACTGGGTGCAGATAGGAGGAAGTGAGCAGGAGTGACATGTGGAGCTTGGAGAACTTATACCTAGGCATCCACTTCCCTGTGAGCACACCCAGAACAAGACGCCAAGTGGTCAGTACCCAGAGGCACCCACAATCCAGTCCATACACCCCCCACCCCTTGGAGGAGCGCTGTGCGTCCTCCATCAGCACAGCTGGTGCTGCCTGTTTCCGACCTTCACGCGAATGGGTTCCCACAGTCACCGCAACGGTCTGTGTCGATAGTTGTCCCCCAGATGTCACCTGAGGAAGGTTCCATGTAGGGAGAACTGACTTCAGTAACGGGGCGCAGAGTGTCTCTCACAGACAATTTCTTTTGATAAAAAAAAATTTTGCCCTGGCCAGTTTGGCTCAGTGGTTGAGCGTCGGCCTGTGGACCAGAGAGTCCTGGGTTTGGTTCCTGCTAGGGGCACATACCCCCAAAACAAAACGTTTCATTGTGACTTTGAATTGTAGTTTCATTTCGATGATTAAAACCTGTTTAGTGAGGATTATTAAAATGCCCCCATCTGCGTGGGGGCGGGACTGTCTGTGGAAAATAGTCCTGTGTCCAGTTTCATGTTCAAATACATGTCTCTTTCAATTATTAGTAAGACTTGAAACTCTTGGTTTCAGAACTTGGCTTTTTACATTTTCCAATGATTCTCTACCCGTTGGACAGTAGGGAGGCACATGCTCTTGAAGCTGTGGAGTCAGGAGCTCACAGAGATGAGAGTCACGATGTGGGCAGACACTGCACATTTAAAGACGAGCTCGGTGACTTAGGCCAGTGACGTGGTGAGACTAGAAAACCTGTGAATTTCTGCAGTGGTTCAGGCGGAGCCAGACCCAGTGCCGTTGGTGAGGGAGATGTGAAGAGTGAGACTTGTTGCTCCAGTTCTGAAAGTTTTCTCGTTTGGAACCTTTGTAGGTCCTTTTGGGGTGAACCACGGTGTGGAGCTTCATCCAGATGTGATTGAGTATGCAAAACAGAAACTGGATTTCTTCATCAGGACCAGTGACAGCTTTGACAAGTAAGGTCATTCCTGTCCCACTGGTGTGGGTTGTCATTGAAACTTGATGGTATGGGGAGAAATTCGTCTGCATTTTTCTTGGACCAGCAGATATGACTGTGGTGTGGCAAGAGGCCAGGGTGTGTGTGGATATGTTGTAGTTGTTGAAATATACTGGGAGCTCAGCCGGTATGGCTCAGTGGATTGAGCGCTGTCCCATGTACCAAGAGGTCCCAGTTTGATTCCTGGTTAGGGCACATGCCCGGGTTGCCAGCTCCACCCCCAGTAGGGGTGTGCAGGAGGCAGCCCATTGATGTTACACTCTCACATTGATGTTTTTCTCTATCCGTCTCCTTCCCTTTCTCAAATAAATAAAAACATATTATATATATATATATATATATATATATATATATATATATATATATATATATATATGGGTTTTGAGCCCTGGCTGGGTAGCTTAGTTGGTTAGAGCATCATCACAATATGCCAAGGTTGCAGGTTTGATCCCAGGTCAGGGCACGTACAAGAGTAACCAATTAAATCATAAATAAGTGGAACAACAAATTGGTATTTCTCTCTCTCTCTCTCTGTCTGAAAGTCAATCAATTAAAAAAATTAAAGGATATATATATATTGGGGTTTTAAGGGCTGTAGCTTTGTTAACTGTGATATCTAGGTAAAGGTAATTTTTCACCAGTGTAATTAGAGAGGGAAATAGAATGTTCATTTTGTTCAGTTTCCACGTTTCTGATGGAGACATTTTTTCACGTAATTCTCTCCAAAGCATTCGTCTGTAAACAGTATTGGTAACTAGCTCCTGCCATTTTTTTTTTTCTTTTTATCCTCACCCGAGGACACTTTTGCATTTATCCTCAGATAGAGCGGGAGGGAGAGAGGGAGGAAGAGAGGCAACCGATCGATGTGAGCTAAAAGTTTTAGACCACCAAATGTTTTTTTACTTACCCTCATTTTACTTGTTGTTTAGTGACCTGGAGTCAAATAATGAATCATGAGTGTAGAACAAAGATGGTGATGATTGGAGCTTGGATGGATCCAGCTCAGATCATGCTGATGATCTTCACGTTCATGACATTTTGTTTGGGATTTGTAGGGTTCATTTATTAATAATATAGTTCTTTTTGAAGCTGGGGCTCCAGTGTGTGCTCAGGAAGCTGGGCCACGTTGTGTGGGGTGTGGAAGGAGCTTGCAGCCTGTGGTGAGCACACACTTGCTGTGCTGACCTTTGGCAGGTCACGTGGCGTGAACACCTGTTCTACTTCCAGGTTCGACTTCTGTGAACCTTCCTTCGTCACTGGCAACTGTCTGGAGATCTCTCCTGACTGCTCCCAGTACGACCGCGTGTACTGCGGGGCTGGTGTGCAGAAGGAGCATGAGGACTACATGAAGAGGCTGCTCAAGGTGGGGGGCATCCTCGTCATGCCGCTGGAGGAGAAGGTCAGACCCCTTCCTAACTCGCACCTCTGCACACGTAACTGTTTGCCAAGGTCTGTCCCAGGTAGTTGATGTGTGTTTGCCCTCGTGACCTTTATAACAGCTCCCTGTGTCTGACCAGTGAGGCCACAGCAAAGACAGGCCCTGGGTCAAAGAGGCATCTCAGAGCCTCACTGCACACCTTCCCTCCCCACAGATGTGCTCTTGTGCTTGTGATGTTACTAGAGTTGCTATATGTAAAGCTTATTACAGTAATTCTGTTCCAGTCGTCTAATTGTGAAACACCGTGATGGCCAGTATTCTTTTTTTTTTTTTTTTTTTATCCTCACCCGAGGATATTTTTCCATTTTTTATACAGATAGAATGGGAGGGAGAGAGAGGAAGGGAGAGAGAGAGAGAAACATCGACGTGAAGGGACACATCGAGTGGCTGCCACCCGCATGACCAACCAGGGCCGGGGATAAACTGCAACCGAAGTACGTGCCCTTAGCGGGAACCGAACCCGGGTCTCTCTGGACCGCAGGCCGACGCTCTAACCGCTGAGCCAAACTGGCCAGGGCTTTTTTTTTTTTTAATTAATTAATTAAATTTTTTTTTTTTATCTTTATCCTCACCCGAGGACATTTTTCCATTTTTTGTTCAGGTAGAGTGGGAGGGAGAGAGAGGAACAGAGAGAGAGAGAGAAACATCGATGTGAAAGGAACACATCGAGTGGCTGCCACCCGTACAACGGATCAGGGCCGGGGACAAACTGCAACCGAGGTACGCGCCCTTAGCGGGAACCGAACCCGGGTCTCTCAGGACCACAGGCCGACACTCTGACCGCTGAACCAAACCGGCCAGGGTGCGATGGCCAGTATTCTGCAGGCGTCCCTTTCTGGCAGGCACCTCGCCCAGGCCTGCTGCTTGGTCACGCATGTCTCAGTATATCTTTGGCCCTGTGTTTCAGTGGCGAGAGTAGGCATGCATGGGTCCTTGGGAAGGGTGTCTCTCTGTCACAAAGAACTAGGAAAAAGAGAAGTGATAAAAATTAGGAGACTGTGCACTTTTTTTTTTTCAATTTTCTGAAAACTTTAAATGTTCACATTTAATTCATTTTGTTTGAAAAATAATCATTAATTTTAGGAAATGAATGAACATCAGGGACAGCTGCTCACATTTCCCACTCTGATGGCTGAGCGTGGTCCTTGTATCTGCCTCTAGTTTGATGTCCTCTTATATGGCGACTGCAGTCCCGCCGGTGTGGCTCAGCGGTTGAGCATCGACCCTGCACCAAGAGGTCACTACTTTGATTCCCAGTCAGGGCACATGCCCAGGTACTGGGCCTGATCCCCAGTGAGGGGCGTGCAGGAGGCGGCCAATCAATGTTCTCGCTCGTCGATGTTTCTGTCTCTCACTTCCTCTCTCTCTCAAATCAATAAAGTAAAAAAATAAAAAAATGAAATGGTGACTGCACGTGCTTAGAGCTCACCTGGCTCACTGAGCATGTGGTTTCTGGGCAGCCACTGCTCACGCCAGGGCTCCTGTCCTTGTCCAGCAGCTGCTGAGGGTCGGCCCCAGTGTGTCATCCGGGTCCTGTCATTGGACATGAGTGTGTGTTGTCTCTCACTGTTACATATTGTTGCATAGATAACTCAGTGAGTTTCCCAAATTAATAACATTTACTCATAAATATTTCAGTATGTATCTCTATAAGGGCTCTCTTTTTAAAACATAATCTCAAACCATCATCAACCAAAAAAATTAATAATTTCTTAATATCTTCACATGTCGACTAGCATTCAACTTCTCCTGATTGTCTCAGAGTTTGTTTCTGTGAGTGTGAGTGTGGGTCCAGGTGGCGGTAGGTGCTGCATCTGATCGGTGGGTCTCCTGTGTTTGTAGTCTGTAGATTCTTCTTTTATCTTTGCGGTTTGTTGAAGAAATAAGGTCCTTTGGTAGAGTTTCCTACAGCCTGGATTTGGGGATCGCGTATCTCTGGGGTGATGCTTCCATGTGTTTCTTTCTGTCCTTTCCCCCAGTAAGTTGGCCTCTGACCTCGGCTGTCTGTCCACGCTGCCTGTCTCTTACGCAGGGCATCTGGTCCCCAGCCGCCTGGTTTGATGTTTATCTAATACGTGGCATCATCATGATCACCAACCACCTGCTTTCTGTAACTAATGCAAGATTTTTGGGGGGTGTGTGTGTGCTTTTTTGCCTTTTTATTGCACTGGAGATGTAAAAAGTATGATATCCTGCCTGTTTAAATCCTGCTGTTTTTATAGGTTAGTGGTGACAGGACTTCCTATCTTTGTTCTTTATTCTCAGAATATTGTGTAAATACACCCTTACTTACAAATGATTGTAGAAATCTGTTGTTTTGTAAAAATACATAGAACCTTTTATTGGAATTGTAGTTCAGTTGGATTCATTTGAGGATTATAGACATATTTTCAAAATTATTCTGCTCATCCAGAACGTGAAATAGGGATTTATTGTTATAAGGGCTCATACATTGTTTATAGATAATATTTAACTATTTGATGTTCATTATAATTAGAAATTCTCTTTTTTTCTTTAATTCTTATATGAGGATATGTTTACATTAATCTTCAGATAGAGCTGGAGGGAGAGAGGGAGGAAGAGAGAGAGAGAAACGTCGAGGTGAGAGACACATTGACTGGTTGCCATCCACACAACCCTGACTGGGACTGGGGATGAACTGCAATCGAGGTATGTGCCCTTGGCCAGATAGAATCCGGGACTCTTCAGTCCGTGGGCAACGCTCTTAGCGCTGAGCCATATTGGCCAGGGCAGAAATTCTCATTTTTTAAAAGTTTTTATTTTATTTTATATTTTTTAATTGTCTCCTGAGGATATTTTTTCCACTGATTTTTAGAGAGAGTGGAAGGGAAGGTAGGGGAAAAGAGAGAGAGGGGGAGTGAAACATTGATGTGAGAGAGACACATTGATTGCTTGTTTCCAACATGCCCCCTCCTCCATGGCCGGGAATCGAATGTACAACCCAGGTACGTGCCCTCAACGAGGAATTGAACCTGTGACCCTTTGGTGCATGGGCTGATGCTCTAACCACTGAGCAACCAGCCAGGGCTTTATGGAGGGGGAGAGAGAGACACCACTGTGAGATAGAACAATCAGTCAGCTGCCTCCTGCACACCCCATACTGGGGGTCGAGCTGGCAGCCCGGCATGTGCCCTGACTTGGAATCGAACAGACAACCTTTCCGTGCGTCGGGCGATGCCCAGCTAACTGAGCCAGACCGGCAGGGCTAGAAATTTTCCTATTAAGAGATGTCTTTGCTGAGAACACAAGGACCTTGTTGATGTTTGTTGAACACATGGCTACTTAAGTCCTTTACTTCTAAGATTTATGACATAGAATCTTAGTTTAAAGGATTTGCTGGTTTAGGTATTTTTAGATAAGAGGGCATGTAATTTAGCATATCAGAACTGATCAGAAATGGTCCTGTAACCCACTTGGGCCATGGAGGCTGAAAAGTCCCATAGAACACACAAGAGGGTCGTTTTGTTTAATCAGGTTCTTCTGCTGCCCCTGACCTGTGCTTCCCCAGAAATACTGTAAGACCCGCACTGCAGTGTTAGCCAGCTGACTGCGGGTGTCCTGGGAGGACATGAAACACTTCAGTGTGCGTCTCCCCAGAGTGACAGTGAGCCCTGCACTCCCCGGGAGTAGCTGTGATTGCGTCACTGTAGCTGTTGTTGCTGTGGGTCATGAGTTCCCACCTGCTGTCGGGTCTGACCGCCAGGATGCAGTCTGGAGTGTGTGTCCTGGGACTTGTCACTTGAGAGCGCTCCCTGCTGGCCCACGTCGCAGGCGTCTCGTCGGACCCATGCCCCTGTCTGGTGTTTCCTCTCATGGTCCTCCGGTGTCTGCCTCTGTCATTGACATCTCCTGTAAGCAGAAGGGAGGTTTAGAAGCTCGAACATGTTCAGCTCAAACATACTCACATAATTACTGAGTCACGTGTAGTTCATCCCGCTCCTCTTATGGGCTTGTACTGTCAGGTTATTTCGTGATTCCGCCTGTGTGTGTGTGTAGATTATGTGAAGGGACGGTTATGTTTACATTTAACTTAGCAGTAGCCAAATCTTCTGAATGTTCTCATCTTGTCTTGGGGATAGTTGACTAAGATAACCCGCACGGGCCCTTCCGCTTGGGAAACCAAGAAGATCCTGGCCGTGTCCTTCGCGCCTCTGGTCCAGCCGCGGCGCTCGGAGTCGGGGAAGTCGAGGCTCGTCCAGTTGCGTGAGTACGGGAACCCTGACTCGCTGCTCAGGTCTTTCGGTGTCTTCAAAAGCATTTTCAACCTACTGTAGCCATAAACTTTTCCAAGTGATTTTTAGGCTATTTATAAATTATAATCCGCCCAGCTGGTGTGGCTCAGTGGATTGAGCAACGTCCCACGGACTGAGAGGTCTGGGTTCGATTCCCAGTCAGGGCACCTGCCCAGGTTGCAGGCTTGATCCCCAGTAGGGGGCATGCAGGAGGCAGCTGGTGGATGGTTCTCTCTCACATTGAAGTTTTTATCTCATCTCTCCCTTGCCCTTCCTCTTTCTTTAAAAAATCAATAAAATTATTTAAAAAAAATTAAAATCCCATATCCAGCACAGTATAGGTTATTTTAGCCTGGTTTTAAAATCTGCAGAGAGCTACACTGGTGATGCCACGGGAAGCAGAAGAGCCACACAGAAGGTAGTCAATCTGCCTTGTGGAGAGTATGTCCCGGGCACCTCTGGCCATGATGCTCCTGCAGATCCCAGATCCCCCTGCTCTGGGGCAGCTGGTGGCCACTCCACTTGCCTGTGGGGGTGGGGTGAGCAGGTCTGCAATGGTGCGTCCTCGGCCAGGCCTGTGCCTTTCACTCCGTCAGGGTGTAGACCCAGCAGAGAGCTAAGCGTTCTTGCAAATGTAGTTTCATAATGTCAGTAAAAATATACACAGCTTGGAGAATAGCAAAAGTCTTCATTTAAAATGAAACCATTCAGCATGCACTGTACTTTCTGATAATTTAGAAAATTAGAAAAAAATAGCAAAATAAGTTGCCGTAATCTCACCACCTAAAGAAAATATGTTAATGAATTCCTTCTGGATTGTATTCTGATGTACAAGAGGGATCATTTATGGAACAGTGACAGCATTCTCGGTTTCTGCCAAGTGCAGGTCACGTGAGGCTGACATGGTCATTGAAACGTCATGAGCATCGAGGCATCGAGTTTGTAGAGAGAGAGATGTTCAAGAGGAATTCCCTGAGGAGAGGAGAGAGGGAGGGAGGATCTGAGCTGGGACTTGGTGTGCGGACTTCCAGGTGCTCAGAGGAAGCATGTGGGAGACCCTCACAGTCCACAGGGTAGGCTGGAGTTTGCTGCACGGGCCACAGGGAGCTGCCTGGTGTTTCTGCTGTGAGGTGGTGCGTTTGCACTCAGGATCACCCTCTGCCCAGGTGGAGGTGTGCACTGAATGTTCTCCCCAAGAATCCCACAGAAGAACTGAGCAGACACTGACTGCGGTCAGGGAAGGTACCACCTTTCAGGGCCTTAGGACAGTGTCGGAGGTGAGGAGACTGTCAGATGTCTGGGAGGTTGATCGTGCCTGGATGGGAGTCATGACCCCATGGAGGGCACCCTGGGATGTGGTGTTTGAGGCCATGGCTTCCCAGTGTGTTGGATGGTCAATAATCCTGTGATGCTGTTTAGGCTCATGAAGTGAACAGCAGTAGACGAGTGATGTCACATTGGCACAGACAGTGAGGTCGAGCGGGTGTAGACGGGGTCGGCTGACAGTGGGCGTCCCAGGAATAGTGCAGCAGGAATCAGTTAGGAGGCAAATTGAATCTTCCAGGCTGGAGATGAAGATGGGAAGTCAGACCCTGGCCTGTTCGGGAAAGGACTCCTGGAGGCCCTGGGGCCTCTCTAAGGAAGGGTGTCAGAGGCTGTTGTAGATGTGGGCTTGCAGGAGGCTCCGGACCCTGGTCAGGGCTGGGTTAGAGCCCTGGGTGCTGCTGGCCAGTTTCATCGAAGCCACAGAGCAGGTGTCAGACCCATGAATAGACAGGGGAGCAGAGAGGGTGGGAATCACAGCCTTAGGAAAGGCCTCTGGGGCTGGGCGGGGGGCAGCCAGCGAGGGACTCAGGCTGCCGGGAGCAGGCTCCTCCCCATGCGGCCCCTGTGCAGGGGGAGGTCTGGTGGCCTGTGCAGGACTCCTTCTAGCTGCCTTAGGAGCAGCAGCGTGTGGAGTGGCAGGGTGAGCCCTGGAGCCCTTCCTGCAGGAGGAGGACAGTGAGCAGACAGAAGAGTTGGTGCTGACAATGTAGAGAAGGTGCAGAGAGCTTGGGATCACTGAAGTTTCCAGGGCTCCCCTGGACCAGTGGGCATTTGCTGAGATTCTGCACAGGCCTCTCCAATTTGGGAAATAAATGTTACAGTGTGAGAGCACCCTACTGTGGGTTGTGGTTTTTGGAGTACTTAGGTACTGGAGGGGAAAAGAGATGCTGATGCTGAGTTTAATGTATTGAAACACTCGACCCCCTAGTTCCTTGCCCTGTGAGAGAATCCCTCACGTCCCCGTGTGCAGGGCCTGCATTCAATGGAGTTGTAGTCGCCATGTTTTACTTCTCTTGGGTGTGCTGTGCAGTTTTGTTCTTTAAGATGCTGTGACCCACTTACTTTCACGAAAAGGTAATATCCATCTCGTAAAGCATGTTGGAAACAGTGAAGTGGCCAGGGGAGTGCTGGGTGCGCTGGACGGAAGGGCTGTGCATGAACACAGGGACCAGAGTGAGGAGCCAGGTGACGACGGGAGGAGAGGAGCCAGGCTGTCGCTGCTGAGTCACCAGCAGCAGGGAGCTTCCCTTCCCTGTCAGAGCTCAGGGTGACGTGCTTAGAGAGCCTTCTGCAATGAGCTCCCATCCTGGGCTGTGTTGTCACGATGCAGTTTTCAGTTGCTGAGGCCTGTGCTGTCGCAGACACTGATCCTGTCCTTCACCCCACAGCGCCCCTGGCCGTCCGCAGCCTCCAGGACTTGGCTCGCATCGCCATCCGGGGCACCATTAAGAAGGTCATTCACCAGGAAGCAGTGAGCAGAAATGGGAATGGACTGAAGACCACTCCCAGGTTCAAGCGAAGGAGAGTTCGCCGCCGTCGAATGGAAACCATCGTCTTTTTGGACAAAGAGGTCTTTGCCAGTCGGATTTCCAACCCGTCAGAGGACAACAGCTGTGAAGGTTTAGAAGAGGAGCAGCAGGAAGAAGAGGGGCAGAGCCCGGCTGAGATGAAGCCAGAGCCCCCCGTGAACTTCCTGAGGGAGAAGGTCCTGCGTCTGCCCCTGCCTGACCCCCTGAAGTACTACCTGCTCTACTACAGGGACAAGTGAGGGCGGGCGGCGCAGCCTGCGGCCAGCAGAGGGCGCCCGTCCGCACGTTTCTTCTTCCAGTTTGATCTCGATTATCTTGTAGAATTTTCATTAAATGGTAGATTTCTTTAAATATAATCTGACAAATGTAAGTGCATGGGAGATTGTTTTCTTGAAAGAGAGAGTGTCCCAGAGAAGGGTTTACTGCCAGTTCCTGTGACACAGGTAGAGGCGTCTGCGTAGCAGTGAAACTGCGGTCCAGGTGACCCGGCCGGGCTGAGGTTGAGCTGTGGATGGAGCGTGAGAGGGAAGCACAAGTTCATGAACCTGCGAGTTTTTTCTGGGTGTGACACACCCATGTCCAAGTTTGTACATTATGTTATTAACCTGTTAATTCCTGGCCCTGACTTTCACTAGAGCCTGTAGTTTTAAAGAGGGAACTTTTCTTGAAAAGCCTCCCTTATTGTAAGTAATGGAATCACTCTTATGGGAGTTATCAGTGTTGGTTTTTTAAAAAAAATCGTGTTGGGGAAGGAGGAACAAAAGTATCAAACTGCGAGATATCTTTTAGAAGTTCCAAAAGAATTCCAAGGGATTTTTCCCTGATACCTTTGATTACATTTAAAAGAACTAATGTCACCCTGTATGGGTAGCCCTGTTGGCTAGAATGTCAGCCCAAGACTCCAAGGTTTGGGGTTCAATCTCTGGTCAGGGCACATATGAGAATCAACCAATGAATGCATAAATAAGTGGAACAACAAATCATTGTCTCTCTCCCTTCTTCTCTCCAAAATCAGCCAGTCAATCAATAAAAAATAGAAGAAGCAATGTCTAGTAATCCTTGGAAAAATATCCTGAAGAAGAAAACGAGTGTTGTGTGCAGGTAATAAACCACATAAGTTCTACCCAATGACGGGGATCACTGTGGTCTTTCAGTGGGACTGTGGGTGTCTGAGGACTGACCTGTTGGTCCTCAGCAGGTGGGGGAGGGACTCAGGCTGGGCTGGACTCAGGACTCTTGGAGGCGGCCTGTGCTTTTCGTCTTAACTTCAGTTGGTATTTTCTGTAATCACATTAGAGCACTGATTCATAGATTTTATCTTTTGTAATTCTGCAGAAAAAGATTCGTTAGTTTTGTACATTTTCTCAAGAACAAATGCATGTGTTTTGCTGGCTGCACTGTGACAGCAGTTCCGGCCTTGGGGAGCCGTCTGGGCTCCTGTGGCAGGAGCTTCCTGTCCCATCGGGGTCTGGTCCAGAAGGAAAGGGGCTTGGTGGTGGCAGAAATGTTTTGAAGTTACACCTGTTATTCCAGAAAATTGGTTCTCTTCGAAATTTATTTTTTATCCAAAGAAAAGACTAGTATTAAATGTTCACAGTAAGCCCAAGCTCAGAGTGCTGGTGTCGGATTACTCACTCAGATGTTAGGATTAGTTTTATCCCTTAGCCTCTTGGGTTTTGCTGAGGTTCAGTGTCTCTGTGGTTTCAACCAGTTAACTGATGACAGCCCGGTTATTTTGTTACCTTGTTGCTGTTTGTAGTCACCGAATCATCCTTGTCACGGGATGCTGTGTGCATGTGTAGCCGGAAAATGTATCTCGTCCTCGATTTATAACTCCAAGCTGTTGTAAAGAGGCTCATCCTGGTTGTGGTACTTCCTCTACCGAGGCAGGCGGCATCCTGCAGAGAGAGGAGCGTGGTGTGTGCTACACTGCACGTTGGGCGTTACTCTAATCGATCTGTAGCGGCCCCTGTGATCTGTGCACATCTCCACACATACTATTGAACAAAGGACATCTGTCAATCTGTTGCCTGACTAAATTTGTTCCCCTAAGATTGTCAGTGGATTTCATTTATTTTAAACCGTGTTTGCCTTATAACAAGGCAATGCGTAAGACATGTCTTTCCCATGTATGTGTTAAACCTTGCCTAATAGTTTAAATTTACATGTTCTGCGTTGTCATTTTTAAACCAGAATTTGGTTAAAAATAGGAAGATATAACACACGTGAACTAGCTCAGTGTCTCTGTCAGCAGGAAGGAGCACTGAGGAGGTGTCCTGGCCCCGCGTCACAGGGTCAGTGTGACTGCGCTGTTCCCAAACAGGTGCGTCCAGCGTGGTCTGTGTTGGAGCCACAGTCTGGACGGCTGTGGCTTCTGTGTTCAGAGTCATCTGTATTTTTATATGTGACTTTTGTCCTGAAAGTAGTAAAGCCATAGAGATGAACAAAACAGAGATAAAATGTATATTAAGTGTGTAATGTAAAAATCAACTGTGTGTGTGAAAATGCTTTTGCCGGTCTGGAACTTCCAGGGGATTCATGTAAGAATTTGAAACAGATTTAAAGGAGCTGATATGTCTGAATAACTACAAGATATCAATAAAGGTAGTTAAGACGTTTTAGCCTTCTTAGCATTGCTTCTGTTACATCTGCGGGATAGAAAGTCTTAACTACACCCCCCCACCCCCCAAAAAAAACCTAAACAATAAACTTTCTTTTCTTTCTTAGAATGTGTTTTCATTCACACTTTGTTTTATTGCTCAAATTTGGTATATGAGAGTGTCTGTGGTTAGATTTTTGGCACAATTTTTCCATGTTGTGAAATGTTGAAAGATAATTGGGTACTGGCAACACATCTTACCGGCAGCAAAGGGGGTGAGGGTTGAGGGTTTGGGGTCAGGGCCAAGGGCCAGGGCCAGGGTTTAGGACAGGGGTTTAGGGTCAGGATCAGAGCAGGGTCAGGTGTTAGGGTCTTTGGTCATCTGGGTCTGAAGGTCAGGATCAGGACTTCAAATTTTTAGGCCCTGACCCTACCTTCATGACCTGAGGCCCCCCCTCCTTTAAGATCCCGATGTGAGATTTTTGTGGGGAACAGAGAAGTGCAGAAAGTGGTTAGCCTGGGGTGGATTCCAGTCCCCCAGGCCCCCGAGACGTGGCTGCAGCCGCTCGCAGACCTGGGGGCTCATCCACAGGAATTTCCATCACAAGCTCAGGCTGCAAGGCCAAGACCACGGCACCAGCAGAGCCTGTGCCTGAGTCTGTTCCCAGCTCGACCTTTTCTCCTCTAACCTCACATGACATAAAGGCAACGGAGTTTTCTTAATAAAAGTCTGTATTTTTATACTGGGGGATGGACAGTCCTTCTCGGGGGCAGCTTGGAGGAAATAAAAGTTTGGAACAATCCAGGTGTGGTTGCTGTGTGGTGAAGGTAGAAGGGATGAGGGGTGAGGGCCCCTCACCCCCTCCCTGTGTCCTCAGTCTCTGTCCTGGGGCGGAGTAGGCGCCACTTTCTTTCCTGCCCCTCGGGACTGTTGAGGGCCACGCGGTGACGGAACGACAGGCATGTTGGTGGAGAAGTGATCATCCCGACCCGTCTGCTGGGCTCCCGTGCCGTCTGCTCCAGGTAGGTGCCCTCCACGAGGGAGTTTTCCTGGTATCTCTGGGCACTGATTTTGTTCCTTCATGAGGCCTCCACCTTCGTGGATGAATGTCCTCCCAGCAGCCCTGCTTCCTAATGCACCACATGGGCACAGGTTCCAGCCTGGGAACTTGCAGGGACAGAGCTGCTCCACACACAGCAGGAGGGTCTGCTCCCAAGCTCATTCCTGTGGCTGGTGTTCAGGGGATGTTCGTTTGAGGACCTCAGCTTCTCCGTGGCTGTTGGCTGGAGGCCTCCTGCGTTCACTCTCCATAGGGCAGCTCGCAGCAGGAGCAGCACCTGTCGGGAGAGGGCTGGTGAGGGACCTGGTCCCACTGTGAGTGTCAGGACCTGCATCCGCTTCGTCCAAGCCCCCTCTTAAACTGCATGTGTGCATTTATTTCTGTGATTAAAAAATTATTAACGGACCTGGCCGGTTTGGCTCAGCGGTTAGAGCATCGGGCCTGTGGTCCAGAGAGACCCAGGTTTGGTTCCCACTAAGGGCACGTACCTTGGTTGCAGTTTGTCCCCGGTCCTGGTTGGTCTTGCGGGAGGCAGCCACTCGATGTGTCCCTTTCACGTTGATGTTTCTCTCTCTCTCTCTCTCTCCTTCCTACTCTATCTGAACAAAAAATGGAAAAATGTTCTCGGGTAAGGATTAAAAAAAAAAAATTATTAACGTACTTTGTTTCAGTAAGTGTGTCCAGTCTTTTACAGTACGATGGTCTTAGGTGACACATTAGACTCAGTCGTTGTCTGAGACTCCCTCCCACAGTGTCCTCACTTGGTGGGCACAGCAAGGGTGGGGCGGTGGGGGGTGCAGGCATTTACTGGGGACAGATCTTAGGGGAGCTGCGATCAGCTCTGTCCCTATTTCCTTCCTCTCCCAGCAGAGGGAAAACCCAGAACAATGAGGACAGTCAGCAGGGGGAGGAGCTGCCTGGAGGGGTAATTTATCTGTTTGTAGTTTCCTCATTTCAGGGTCTATTTTATGAATGTGAAGTTTTACTAGGGAATCACCCATTTTTCTCTAGTTATCCTATTTGATGCAATAGGTTTATTTTATTTGACTCTTAGCTTCTCCTCTCTTTCTATTTATTTTACAGAATTGTTACAATTAATAAATATGGATACATTGTAAGTGACAGAAGTCTGTATTTTATTACATTTCCTGCATTCAGAGCTCAGTCTCATTAGAAGCCCCTAACGGTCTTCCAACCAGAGAGGTTAATGCTGACATCTGGGCTCCTGTGGGCCGACGGGGTGGTGTGATGTGAGATGCAACCAGGAGAAGAAACAGGCCTGATACGTAGAGTGTCCACACTGTGCCCAGGAGACTTTGCTCTCCAATCTCGGGGGAGCTGTTGGTAGATTTTATCCATGATGTTCATTTTGAAACATCAAGTGGTCACAGTGAGTAAGTCAGATAGGACGAGAAGGGGCAGGAAGCAGAGAGCAGGGAGCACACGGTGGAGGTGGTGCTGGCCTGAGCTGGCAGGTTCGTGAGCTGGCAGAGGAGCAGGGGTGTGAGGACCAGAGAGAGTCTGTGGTTAGTGCTGCCCAGAGGATGGAGCCGGCACAGGTGCAAGAGTGAGTTCCTGCGGGGACTTTGGCTCTGGACACCAACAGAAGAACTCATTCTGCTAAGGATGCTGTTTGCTAAACTCTCCATGTATCCGGACGTGGAAGTTAGAAAGAACTAAGAAGGGAAGAGGAAGGGAAAGTGTGTTGATCACGTGCTGGGCTGGAGCTACAGGTACCACCTCACAGAATCCTCACAGCCACCCTGAGAGGGAGCGGTCACCACCCTCTGACAGAGCAGGAGACTGAGTTTCCGTTTCTTTGCCTGAAGTCACACAACTAGTAGGTCAGCTGTGCACCTGTGTGTGGCTCCAGCACTGCCCTGGAGGGAAACTGCCTCCCTGGACTCCATTCCGAGGGGAAGCAGACCTGTGCTCTGGAGAGAACACATTTTAAACGGCTGAAGGAGAAACGGTGGAGAAGTGGAGAAGTCACTGTTACAGGGATCTGGTGTTGGCCGTGCTCTTGTGAAGGGTCAGTCCACCTCCTCCCTCCCCACCTGTTCCCTTCCAAAGCTTCCTCTCAAGTCCCCCCAAGCCCAGGTGGAGCGAGTGCAGGGCAAGCTGGACCCTTAGGTGAGGTGCAGGTTTTCTTCAAGTAGAATGAGCAACAGGAGACTATAAGATTTTAGAGGGAGCAAAGATTCTCAGTACAATACTAAGTCAAAATCCCATATCTTCAGAGCAAACATAACATAGCATTTTATAATCAGAGTGGCATAGTATCTGACTTGGGGCAACTTATTCTGTACCCCTCCAATAGCATATTGTAACATAACCTTGAATTAATGATCAAGATGTGGTTATTTTGTGCCAGAGAACAACTCAAGAATCACACAGTAAAAGTTGCACACTAGAGCCCTGGCCGGTTTGGCTAAGCGGTTAGAGCGTCCGCCTGCGGTCCGGAGAGGCCCGGGTTCGGTTCCCACTCAGGGCATGTACCTCGGTTGCAGTTTGTCCCCAACCCTGGTTGGTCGTGCGGGTGGCAGCCACTCGATGTGTCCCTTTCACATCGATGTTTCCCTCTCTCTCTCTTCCTCTCTCTCCCTCCCACTCTGTCTGTACAAAAAAATGGAAAAATGTCCTCGGATGAGGATAAAAAAAAAAAAAAAAAGAAGTTGCACACTAGATACAATGGCTCCGCCCAAAGTTCTTATTACTGCCCCCTCCCCTATTTGCTTGTTCACCTATTGCAGACCCTCAGGGCTCAGAGAAGGTGACCTATCACTCCAGACACTGGGGAGTGAAGCGTGACGCTGAATATCACCTTAATTTTACCTGGAGACACCTGTATTAACTAACCCACAGAAGTGAACACTATACCAAGAGCCCATTTCTGTTTTGTTTGAAAGAGCTCAACAAAGGAGTGGCAGCCTCCGCCAGCAAGTCTGTCCAGGAGAAAGCCGCCTCTCCAGCCTTCGCCCCGAGGCCAAACAGCTCAGTTCTTCCCTGTGTGTCTCTGGCAGCCCTCAAGCTGCCTCCACTTTGAGCTCAGAGGGAGCAAGTCCTGGTAAGTTTGTGCCCGGCCTTTTAAGAGGAGCTGCCTGGGGCTCCAGCAGCCTCAGCCTCCCTCATGCTCAGTTCCCACTGGTTTTACAGGCAGAAGTGATGGGGATTCTTTTCCTGGTACTGGAACCCTGAGCCGGGCACCTGGTGTGGGATGGAGACCCCTCACTCCTCAGGGAGGACCTTCACAGCCAGATGTCCCTCTTGATGTTTATCCATCCCAAGTGGACGTGGGCCCAACCTGTCCACCTCCGCCCCTCCTCTGTCCCTCCTGCCAGTCTCCATGTGGCTGCTGCTTTAACCTGGTAGTTGTAGGACTTCCATTCCGCTCGATTTCAGGTGGTTCTGAATGATGGTTGTGTTGTAGTTTAGTTGTGATTTTGATGTGGTTGTGGGAGGAGAGGATACCGCGAATACCTTACCCGCCACCCTGACCAGAAGTCTAAGGCACGTTTAAATAAGCTGTTCACGCATAAGGCTAGAAACTGTCTCTATTTGGGGTCGGGTCGGCTTCTGCACAGCTGAAACTCAGTTCTCTTTCCAAGGAAGAAGGAGGTAAAGATAATTCCTTCTGGTAGCAAAACAGCTCCAGTGTTTACAAACCTCACAACTCCAGACCTCTGTCCGGGGCTTCAAAGGTATGTTCTTGTAGATGCACAGACACGATGGACAGAGCTTGCTGAAGGCGAAGATAAGTCTTTTACTAAAGAAGTTATGCCCGGCCGGTGTGGTTCAGTGGTTGAGCCTTGACCCATGCAGCAGGAGGTCACTGGTTCAATTTGTAGTCAGGGTATGTTCCCAGGTTGTGGGCCCGGTCCCTGGTGGGGGGTGTGGATGTTCTCTCTCTCTCTCTCTCTCATTGACGTTTCTCTCTCCCTCTCTCTCTGAGAACCAAGAA